GCTGATCGTACTAAAGTCAGACTGTTGGACACTTGTCTTAACAGAATTTTCCACAAGGAAACCCCCTCCGCTCCCTTAACCTTGTTAAGTCCATCCCGCTGAAGGCGAGATGTCGCTTCGGAACTACTGAGCCCATGCCTATTGCGACAACAGTCAGTTCCGGCCTCATGGTTATGAAATTGGATTTAATCGAGGAATCTCATGAATGGCTTACTGGATATCAGCTCCCAGGGCGAGGGAGATCTCTGGAATGGAATAGGTGTGGGCATATTGACAGATTTCTTGACGCTTCTTAAGCTCATCAAGGGTCACAGGCACTGTGGAGTCCTGGGAAAAGACCTTGTATGAGCTAGTCGAGACTTTCTCCCCCTCGTCTAGCTTTAGATGGGAGGTTGATTGATTTAGGGCTGATCCCGGACGTTGCTCGGGCCCTTCATGAATGGAAGAAGTATTTGGAGGCTCTGTCGATTCCTCGACATCTGGTGATGAGGTCTCTATGCCCATTCAATAGAAGGTATAATATAGCAAAAGGAGCGAAAAGTTTCGACAAAGACTGGACGAGCAGGTAATGAAGGTCGGGGCTGTATAAGTCGTAGTCGAGGATGGACCACTCAAAATAAATTGCTAGCAAAAGAGAGAACAAGAATGGAAAGGTCAAGAAGAAGGGCAAGGAATGGGAAGAAGGGGAATGACACATGGGACGGGGGCAACATATAGATATAGTTTGTTTGGTAGTTATTCAGTCTGACTTCTCCACATCCACCACCCAACGATATCGGAATTCTTCAATAAGTTGCAATTCGAGGATGATGACAAGAAACTAGGGATTTCACTGCCACACCTATGACGATACCGAAGTTATGTGCACATATGAGATTTTATCCATTTTCTTGGCTCACCCATACCTGTTACAAATGTTTGTGACCAGTGGAGACAACGTTCGATCCCTCTTCAACTCAGCCAGTCAGCGTAGGGATTTTTAGCGGTTCATGCGCCTTAGACTGACGAGCTGGCATGCGAGCAATTAGAGTGGCACTTTCTCTCGTAGCTGGTGAAAGAAGCGAGAAATTGCTCAGCTTTGTCGCCCCATGCCACTTGACCAATTCTCCTCCTTAATCCGCCGTTATGCTTTGCTAGCGAAATTTTGTCATCATCAGGGCAAGTTCTGGCCATGCTTGGTTGAGCAGGGTTGGTGTTGTTGCCTTTCCCCATGGGTCCTAGTTCGCAGTCGCTGCTGAAATGGCTGTTGGGAACAGGTGTGAATGAAGATCGGTTTTGGGCTACTTGACTTGGCGTTTCTTCTCCGCGACGTGTGCCCCGAAACAACCTAACTCTCCTCCGCCAACTCCCCCCGGTTTTGGTTTCCTCCACGGTGTCTTGGCTTCATCATTCTCCACCTCAAGATAACAATATTACACGGACAAAAAATTCGCTCAACGAATTATTAACCGGAATTGTTTGTTTGACCCCCCCCCCCCCCCCCCCCCCCCCTGGGGGTACGGCCAAGGAGGTGGTCGCAGAAATCTTTCCTTGGTTTACAGGTGGTTCTGTTTTAGGTCCTTTTGGCCCTGTGCACGTTCCATGGCTTTCAATGCGATCTACCCATCCAGCATCAAGAATGTGCATATCTGAGTTACCATAATATTATAGTCCAGGCTGCTTGTACGAAGCACGATCTTGCGTGCCGTTACGGCCTTTCGATACATATCCCTATTTTTGTTTAATTTGGTGCTTTCTCTCTTGATGTCCATTTGCCATTAACTGATTGATTCCCTGTGTATGAAGCTATCCATCGCTGTTGTTTTTTTATGGGAGGAAGCTCCCAAGCTTCTATGCTGCGTTGAAGGTTGAGTTGCATGCTAAGCGTGCGGCCACAAAACCCCGCCAGGGGGAGTTCCTTGAATGCTATGTCTTGAGATATGGGCACGTTTCTGCGCTAATCAGTTAGTGGGGGCTAGGTTTTAACATCCTCACAAACCCAGGATAATATTTGGAACATCTCACAGCTTGTAGAATCCATAGATGAAGTGCACAAAGATGTCTCGTGTGTCTATATGCACCAACATCCCTTTTACACCATGACCCCAGAGCACATGACCTATTTCCATATAAGTAGGTCGGATTCAGTATTTTGTTCCTGGCTGATTCTATTGTCAACAATATTAAAATCGTCGCTAAGGCCTTCCAGTGGGTTTGCAACATCGACGTCATAACGAAAATCGGGACAAGGGTTATATTTGGCCAATGGGAAGAATGGGAGGCTCAACAGGAATTGATCATCTTCCTTTACAGATATAGATGCAGCCATATTTTGGACCAGCCCTAGCCGTGTACGGGTAATGAATGAAATGCAAGTCAACAAAGAAGAGAGAGAGTATTTATCGCTATTATTATTATTGCTGAAATCCTCCAGTTTATGTCGGTCTTCAAAACAGAGGTGGTTAGTTGTTTTTAGTTTTAAGGTTCTCCTGAATTGCTTGCTGCAAAAGAGCGGATCATCTATTCCTCCGTGATATCCAGCATCAACCAAAATAAAATATCCAAACCTCAAATCATTTTTCTGTGAAATTATCATGATATGGAAATACCAAAAAGAAGTTCCCCAACGCTCAATATTTTTCTCTGCTCCAAATAAGTATCTTTAGTTTAGTTCTCATACCGCTTCCTTTCCATTTCTTCTGTATCCAATGGCTACTCCGGAGGCCTGTCTTGTTCCACTCAGTTTCCCGGATGGGTCAGCTTCCTATACCTCCCCCAACGGAGATAAAATTCTTGGATCAGTCAATGGCCCTATCGAAGTTGGCCGTCGAGATGCCCAGAAGCCGGAGGAGGCTACAATAGAGGTCCTCGTTAAGCCAGGTGCTGGCATGAGTGGCGTTGGTGAGCGATATGTTGAAGGGATTTTGCGGAGCATCCTGAGTAGAGTTATTCTGGTACGGGAAAAGTCTATGCCTAGAAGGGGAATCGTAATCACCTTGGTTGTGTTGGAGAATAAGGGAGCGGATGGAAAAGTTACCAAACGGGGTGGATCTGTGAGTACAGCGAGTTTTCAAACGCTCCAATACAACATATTATACGAGTGCATATCTTGTATACTGAAACGTCGCATCACGCTGACTTGACGCCGTGAAGTGTCTTCCGATTCTACCTTCGCTGTTGCACACGTCTCTACTTGCTCTGCTATCTGCAGCCATCCCTATCTCTATGATATTCACTTCCTCATTAGTCGCAGTATCCGGAACTGGCGAACTGATTCAGCACCCTTCATATGACTGTATCAAAACTGCTGCATCCTTACATGTTCTTGCATTCTCATCTAAAGGCCATCTACTTCTTAATGAAAGTGAAGGTCAATTTGGCCTTGATACGTGGGATAAGGTCTACGAACTAGCCGAATCTGCATGTCGAGGAGGCGCAGAGTTTCGAAAAGGAAATGGCGATGTTGAAATGAGTGGTATGAAAACTGGACAAACCCTTGAACAGGTTGTCAGAGATACTGTGGAGGATAAGCTTCGTGAAGACTTTGCATGGAAAATCGCTGCGGCTTAAACGTTTTGTTCTGCTGATTGTTCACGTCATTGCGAACGGAAAAAATAAATAAATAAATAAAAGAACAGACATAAGAGAGGGAGATTTTCCACGAAACATCGGGAATCATCAAGTTATGATCCCCCGGAACAGTCGTGCACCGGAAATGGCTAACTGGACTGCCAGCGTAATATCTACACATATCATTGTGCAGGCAGAATTTGCCATATCTTTGTGGGGTTGTGCAACCCTTGGGCGGGACTGCCATGGTGGTTCTAACCCCCAAATCCTGAAAGCTTCGAGCTCGTCACTTATGCATATGTTGGAGAAGAAAGATCATCAATGAAACGTTGGGTAGGCAAATTAGAGCCACCGAATCGGAGACTTCATCCAAGCTTAATGTATATCACCTCTTAAGCTGATACCATCTTAGCGTCCTAGGACTGGCCAAAGGATGCGAATTGTTAGCTTTTGCCGTTCAGACTGCGAGTCTTGGAGGTATCTAAAATTTAGAGCTTCTCTGTCATTGGTGACTATTCTCCCGAGTTTTTCATATACACAACTCTTCTTTGATGACTTCATCCTGCAGTTCCTCCTTGATCGCCCGTTTGGTTATATAGATGCTCCACATTCTTTGTCAAATGACCTATTTTTTGTCCCATATAACTTCGTATTCCGATTCCTACTCTGCATCGCAGCTGCTGCTCCCACATCTGTAAACTCTCTAAAACCCCCACCGCACTTCGCAACATTACACGTGCTGAGCGAATGGTGGGAACTCTGGAAGTTATCTCGCGTGTGCTGGACTCCAGCCTCCATTCCAAACAGGACAACGAAGTACGTCAGGTGCTATCCCTAATAGCTTAGACATCTTCGATCCAGCCACAAGATGTTGCCAAGTTGATAATTTTATATTACTTGCTGTTTAACAAGAGCCTAGATATTCTGACGATTTTGAGTATCGTTTTGCCCCCTATCTTTCTATGGAGATATCGATTTCCTTTGGGCCTATTTTTGAATGGGGTCAATAAGAGGTCAAGAAAAATTTGTATCTGAATTATCAAGAAGATTGGAAATGAACACTCCAAACAAAACATATCAAATAACGGGAAGCAGCCAGAGAAAGTGGTTCTCTTGTTTTTTGTGATTAGTGTTGATTTGCGATAACCTAAGCCACCTTAACTCATCCGGCAAATGGACATAGAAAAAGGCAAAATATAATTATCATAAACTAATACTGAACAATGGAATCAGAACAAATTAAAATTTGCTAACCTGAAAACAGAGAGTTTCATTGGGAGAGATTGACTCATTCCCACCAGCAAGTTGAATGAAAAAATGCAGATTTTTCTTTACTGTTCTGAAACACTGATCATCACTAAGTCCAAAGTCGGGGCGAGATTTTCAGAATGGGACCCAACTCGGTGCCTGCATACCGAGGATGATATCATCAACGCATTGACTTTCACGGATTAAGTTGCCATTGCATGATAGTCTCTCCACTTCAGGATAAGATAAAGGAAATATCCGAACACCGCAAGAAGCACGCACACGAGCATAAAAATCCAAATGTTTGCTGCCAGAATATGCTCAGCCCCGGAAGTGTCCTCAAAGTGACGGAAAGATGATGAACCGGAGCCGGAAAATGAGTCATTCAACATCGTTAAGCCATTGTTTTCATCATCCACAACGCTGTGTTCAATTGAGACGTTTGAAGAGAGTACATGGATTCCATTGTCACTCTCATATTCGATATCTGGATCAATTGGCAGGAGAGTGGAAGTAATTGTGATATCCACATTTCCTTCCATTTTCCTTCTCGAAGCAAAATGGTTGCAAGGTTTTTTGACTTGAATCTAATTGTATTATAAGACTGGAGAGGAGAAAGGTAGCGGGACGAAGTTTTTGAATTGCTGTTTGATAGATGATTGAATTTGATTAAGAAATGATGTTTTGCCGCGTCGTGAAGCTTCAGAATGAATGTGTGAGTTGCCAACGGGGGGGCTTTACGGTACAAGTTGCTATGACAATTGATGATAAACATTTTGAAGATGTCACTCTGAGAAGACAAAATGATGCTGATATAAAGCCTGATAATGGTACTAATAATGTATATGTACCTCTTTACATGAATGCGTCTGTCTTCTATGCTGCTGAAGGGAAGAAGAGGTATCAAGAAGTAAAAAGTAAGGGTATGAAAAATTTGACACCAGGTTTTTGTCGTCAGCCCAGCTTCTTTTAAGAAAAATCCCACACTATTTATTGCAGTTACAAGCAAATCCCACAGCAGAGCACCTCCAACCTTGGAAGCTCTTTTAACAACTTCCGAAAAGATGGAATTCGATGATAGCTTGACTCCATAGTCACTGGCAACTAAGTTAGTTAACGTGCTGCTGCAAGCTCCGCTGTCGAGGCTGAGGGTTGTTCCTTGGCAAATGTGTTCAGCTATCGAAGATTTCCAGGTTTTTCTTTTTTTTGAATGTTTCAGTTTCTGCCACTTTAAAGAGAGACGATCGCATCATGCATCAGCGCAGGAGGAAGTTCTCTAGCTGCTGTGTGCGAATTTCGTCGGTATTCTTGTGGTATTTCTTTCCAAGTAAAATGTCAGCCCGGGGTTAGCGACCATCGTCGATCCCAGTATTTACAGGAATTTATGGAAATTTTGCAGCTCGAAATCATATTTGCACCTGAATATTTTTCCTGTTCGATCTGGAGATCAAACTGCCTATCCCTTCTAGCTTCACCGGAAGGGAGCCAATTGGAATGTGTTTGATTTCACGGGACTACCTTGTCTGACTGTGAGGAGCTGTGAGTGGCCTGCCCCTGATCGTGATCGTCCACCTAAGCAGAATCCGTGATTGTGTGATACAGCGGCGAGCATGGGCTATACGGCTTCCCGATGCCGATCGCGAGGGCCCGATGGTTGGACAATAAAAGTAGAATGTGCTCTATTTGCCGCTGTTGGCTCTCCTTTTTGCAAACTCGAACTTGCAAGGGAGAGGTAACCCGGTGATATGCACAGTACACCGTTGTCTCTGTATCTCCCTCTCTCCCCAACTACTGTCCCCTCTTCCTCTAGGAACTCCCTATTCTCTTTCGTTAGCAGATCAGCGTCACACGTGCTTCGTTCGAGTCCCTTTGAACCCTGGAAGATTCCAACTTCAACAATCTTCACTTTGCTAAGAGCCAGAGTCCTTGTGTTCTTCTAACTATCCCATTTCTTTTGTTAACTCCATTCCTTTGACACAGCTCCAGTCGCTCGTTTTATTCCCATCCCAATGATCCGGTCGTTTCTCACTCTGCTGGGCGGCGTCGTGCTTATCTGCCTCAGGGCAGGAGTGCATGCGTCCTCAGCTGGTTACTTTCAAGTCATTGAAAGGCTTGCTTCTATTCCTTACGGCTGGGCTCAGGGACCTGCCCCGGATAAAACCACAGTCCTCAGATTCAAGTTGGCTGTGCATCAGGAAAAACAAACCATCTTTCACCAAAATGTTTTGGACATTTCCACCCCAGGCCATCCCCTTTATGGCATGCACATGAAAAGAAATGAGGTCGAGAGCTTCTTACGCCCCCGTTCTGAAATATCTGACCAGCTTCTCTCTTGGCTTGCCACTGGAGGGCTCAGCCGTGAAAAGGTCAAAGAAAATGGGGCCTGGATCAGCTTTGATGCCACTGTCGGACAAGCAGAACGTCTCCTGAACACGCGTTTCTACTATTTTATCGACAAGAAACGCAAAGACTATAAAATCCGCACCCTTGAATATTCCGTTCCCGCATCCATTGCTCCAAATGTGCACATGATCCAGCCAACCACAATGTTTGCCAGATTTCAGCCGCAGGGGTCGACTATCATGAGGACTCCTCCGCTGGCTACTGATAACAGCACAGACGGTGGAGCCGAAAATTGCACCACAAGAAACACCCCTTCCTGCCTGCGCAAACTATACAACTTTGAGGATTGTAAAGTGGCAAATGAAGTTGCTAACAAGGTCGGTGTCTCCGGTTACCTCGAGCAATATGCCCAATACAAGGACCTCGAAAGATTCCTGACCACTTACGTCCCCGACGCCGTGGGATCCAACTTCTCCGTCCAATCCATCAACGGTGGCCTCAATGAGCAGGACACTGTCAAAGATTCCACAGAAGCGAACTTGGACATTCAGTACGTCATTGGTCTCTCACCCACGTCAAATGTGACCTACTACACGACTGCAGGGCGTGGGACGCTCATTCCAGACCTCGACCAACCAAACATGGAGAGCAATTCCAATGAACCATACCTCGAGCAACTTCTTTTCCTCCTCGCCCTGCCAGACGAGGATCTCCCCACAGTCCTCTCCACGTCATATGGAGAAAACGAGCAAAGCATCCCAGCCAAATATACGGAATCAGTGTGCAGTCTATTCGCGCAACTGGGTGCTCGAGGCGTCTCTGTAATATTCAGTAGCGGCGATACTGGAGTGGGCAGTGCCTGTCAATCGAACGACGGGAAGAACACCACCATTTTCAATCCCATCTTTCCCGCGTCCTGTCCTTTTGTAACCTCCATCGGCGCCACGGAAGGCATCAACCCCGAGAGGGCAGTATATTTCTCTTCAGGGGGATTTTCTGAGCGGTTCGACAGACCTGCATACCAACAGAAGGTAGTCCAGAGCTATCTTGATAAGCTTGGAAACCGGTGGGAAGGGTTGTATAATCCGAAGGGACGCGGGTTCCCCGACATTGCTGCCCAGGGCGTGCACTATGCCATATTCGAAAAGGGACAGCAGATTGCTGTTGGCGGGACAAGGTACGCATCATTTCTTTTTTCTCTTTTTCTTTTCTTTCTTTTTATATACTTCAAATTGGGCAACACACGCCATCTTAAAGGAAGAAGGAAAAGGAACGCAAACTTTACCATACTAAAAATAAAAATAAAAATAAAATATAGTGCCTCTGCCCCAACTATCGCAGCCATAATCTCCAACCTAAACGCCATTCGCATCTCGCAAAACAAGTCAGTGCTCGGCTTCCTCAACCCTTGGATATACAGCTCTGGCTTCCAGGCATTCACAGACATCACGGACGGAGGTTCAACAGGCTGCACTGGAACAGATATGTACTCCGGGCTCCAAACTCCTTTCGTGCCATATGCTAGCTGGAATGCGACGCCCGGGTGGGATCCAGTTACGGGATTTGGGACACCGAACTTTAAGAAGTTGGTGAAGTTGTTACCCGAGGATGGCTATCCGAACACGGAAAAGAGAAATGGGGCTTAATTGATTGAAGGTGATATATGCAACATGGTCATTTTTTAGAATAGGGGATAGGCGTTGAGAGAACAGCAACGCTCTGATGAGAGAATTCTTTCTGTGTACAGATTCTCCGATTTCACTCCGTGTAGCCAAATCCCCAAAGTGCTTAGAAAAGTTATAAAACGTATCGATGGGCAAAATGAGAAGAAGAAGATATGGGAGCCAGCGGCTGCCATGGGCGTCCCTTGCACTGCCCAGATACGTAAACGTTTAGGCCCTTCCGTCGCTGGATAGGGCTTCGCTACCTGCGGCTTCGAGAGTCACCTCTTTCTTTGCCTAAAACTTTCAATCAGACAGTTGCTTGATTTCATTAGAGAGTTGCAGAATAGAAATGCCTCAACTGCAACTCAAATAGAGAATCTGAGAAAAGAAGAATCTGACTCGAACTTAATTGAAGGGCTTTCAGAGTGAAAAGATACCTCTGCAGAATCAAGTCACTGATAACTAAATGATCATGCACTTCTATTGCTAAATGATTCAGTCTTTGTCATCAACAGTAGAGCAGTGTGCCAGAAGCTATTAAGAATGCATCATTCTTATGCTGAGCACTTTGGGATTGGAAAGATTAAAGAGCTTCTCAAATGTAAATACATTTGAAATGAGCTGAGAGCAGATGTCAAAGAATATATGAAGACATGTGATATCAATCCAAACCCGAAATTTAACATTGATGGATGAGGTCTTGTTTTCATATTATGGGCTTTAAAACTTGAACAATTCTCTTCTCAGAAGTTTCTGACTAGAAAAGAACGCTCTTCTCCCCACAAATTCAATAAATGTAAGTAATTTTTTAAAAAATCCTAAGAGTAGAAATGAGTGGTTATGTCCGTGACGAAGTTCAGCGTGGATAGTTTCCGCCCCCCAACATAGAGTTTCAGGTATGATCACATGACCGTTTCAAAATAGGGCTAGCGCATCAAGTTCTCAAGCACATCTAAATGAGTGAAAATTCTTCACTAAACCTCTCATTTCAACCAACCTTTGGAAGCACATCCCGCTCTGACACGTCTTGCTCAAGAATGCTTCAATTGATGATAGAAGTTATTTTGGAGAAGCAGCCAATCCATCAAAATCGGCGATGCTGTCATGGTCAAACCACGCAAAGCGTTTACCAAGGGCTTGAGCACCTTTTGGTCCAAAAGACATGGCGGAAGATAGAAGAACGAAATTCTGGCTGGAAATAAAGTGAGGAGGACTTTTCTTTGCTCAGTGCGAAATTAAGAGAAGGCAATCGGAAGGATAATTACTTCAAATTGTGGAGCTTTGGAAGCCCCAATCTCGTGCAAGTGCCATGGATGGTTGAAGAAGTTAACATGGGGATTTCAACTGATATTTTGCCAAACATAACCTGCACAGGTGTTGATATCTTCTATTTCAATTCTACTGTGGGTTACGATGACAATCGTAATTAATGTCAACCGAATTTCCGGCTTCAAAAGTCAATATGCCCTGCATTTTTGTAAATGCCGGAACATGTTCACTGCTGTGAGTGAATCTGCTGCATTCATGGTGTCTAACGAAGAACGCCTTCCGATTAAATTGAAGGCTCGTAGTACAAACGGTTCAAGACATGTTGCAAGAGTGATACCAACATTGAACTGTACGAGCAGGACAAGATAAGGCATTATGCCATGATGGAAGTTCCAATCCCCAGCCTGGAATCATGAACGCGCCTTGGAGAACTGCATATACTGGTATACTCAAAGGCCTTACACACACCATTTAGCCAGTGTAATTGTTTTCCGGATACTAGAGACGCTTTGTGCTATAGTGCTTGAGGAGTAATTTTGTATACCTGCGGAATGCTTTTGGATTCCTGCAATGACGCTGGTTATAAATTACTAACTATCTGAAAGGATGCACTCAGTATCTCCAGTAGGTTCGTGATATTTTCAACAGAAGGAAGAGCGGAAGGCTATATTTGACACTAACAGGAAGAGTACGGAGCATGACTTCTAATAGAAGCAGTATTTACATGGTATAGCAGAAGGAGAATTTATGCTCTCAAAGGTGCCTTGATTTCGTGTTTGTGACATCCTTCTTTTGTACCTAAGGGAACTGCTGATGCTATCTCGGATTTCCCAAGGGTTTTGCATAATTGCAATGGCATAGGCCTCTGCAATCCTTCCCCACACAAAGGCACGCATTCCAATGTGGCTACCAACTCACGAGCAAAAGGTCTAGGGTCAAATGGGCTTTAAGCAAAGAGCTGTTCCAGTTGTCTAATAGATCTCCTGATCACACTTAGATTGGTTGGCATTTCCTTGGCTTGTAGTGTATGTAGAAAGAACTCCCTCCACCAGACGAGGAGTGAGCAATACCGGTTGTTTACCATGCCTGTAGCCCAATTTTATCTAGCGTAGCAGACATCATGCTTCTGATTGTGAAGCTCGAAAAATACTGATCAGCGAATGCGAATTACGGAACAGACTTGCGAATTTCCCCAGCATCATCATATAATTGGCAGAAAAGGAACTCGTCAAAACCTGCGATCAGAGTCACATCAATTCGAAGATCGAGAACTACTGAAGCTAAAATGTGAAAGAATGAATAAAAGCGGTTTCTTACTGAAAATTTGTTGTCAAGTTTAACTATACTTTATAACCCAGAACCGCAATCTATGTTTATCTCGGTTGGAACAGCCAACACTTCTATTTAGGCATATTATCTTCCTATCACATTGACTGGCACACGATTTCATGCAAGACAGGAGGAGCAATGTCACATTCAGAGATTTCAAAACCAATGGATCCACTTCGTGAGTGACGGTCATCACTTGAACTTGATCCCGCGGCGTTGAGGGAGCCACTACGCTCGAGTTAAGAACAACATGCAACCAGTAGATATCTATTGTCGCATATTGCTCCTTAATAATAAAAATGAAATCAACTCCAAACAAGAAAAGGCTCAGCTAGTTATGTCTGTCACAGGCGTGAATAAATGAGGTCCACCGACGTTGTAAGGATGCTTGCCCCGTATGACCTCTTCGGTAATCGAGAGAGATGTGCTAATTAAGAATAATTTTCCAACAACCAGTTTCGCATTAGGAATTGCTGTTACATGAGGGGGGGAAAGAATATATGCGAGGCTGAGGAGATATGCCCGAGATTTATTGATAGATTAGATATGATTGGGATGAAACTCGATCTACCCGTACAATACTGGAGTTTATTTTGTTTGAGCTGTGTGTAGGTAAGGCGGTTGTATGAAGTAAGAAAACCCGTCTGAATAATATGAAGCTCAAGGTGATACTATCTGGCGTTTTGTGAGGTGTTAAATCGGTAGTTTCAGGTCAAGCCGGCCGACGGTAAGCTGACTGAGCGATCAAACTTACAAGTGCTCCCTCCATTGTTCTGAATATCAGGTCGGGATATCGGTTCTGATACTGGTAGGCTACAAAAAGGAGACCTGGGGAATATTTTTGAACGGAATCAAGGCTCAAGCCTGGAATCTAGCTCTGTTCGAGGTTGTTGAATGTCTCCTAGGTCTCATAACGGAAACCCCCTCTTCAAGGCTCGAGCTTAAGTGATCGATATTCACAACTCCACTTCCACTCCCAGATTTCCATTCCGTTTCCGTGGCAAACCGCTTATAGCTTCTTGGATGCAATTCGCGGGCAGCGAAATGCTAAACTAACTTTTCCAATAACAGCGGATGCCGATGCCATGCAGGCCCTTATATCACAGGCAGCATGTCGCGACAGCCACCGTGACGGTGTTGTGGAGATGCATTGCTGAGGCCCAAAACGCCAGCGGATAGGCTCAAGTAAACTTCCCAAGGTCCCACTACAGTCCTTGGAGTCTTGGGAATTGATGACCATCCAGTTAGGTTAATTCGCTCCCTTTTGACCATATCCAGCACCGCGGCTACGACGGAATGGACAACTACCATGTAACAAGGAGTGTGACCCCCCCCAATCACTCTTCGACAGTACCAGCGACATAGAGATATCAAGACTTCAATAAATGTACTCACAGAAATTACATACATACATACATACATCTTGGCCTCTTTTGAAAACCAATCCGCAATCTCCAATGCGTCCGTGGGACCTTTTTGGGCCCACGATTTCACATTGGGGAACCCCAGGCGAACTAGACACGGATATTCGCACTGCTGTTGCCAAGGTTTTCGGGATTACATATGTCAGTTACTGCTTCGCAATCCCTTTGTGGAGAAGCGGAGTAGAAGCTGAAAAAGGGCTGAAGCAGTGCCCTGTCGACCATCCTCTTGTTATGATGTATGAGGCAGATTCAGGTCAGCTCAAGACATCACGAGGAAAGGGCACCAAGCATATATCCGAGATATGACCGCTTCATAGAGCTGCAACGGAATGAACAGGGTTTATAGAAACTCAGGTTGTCACAGGAAGAGGATCTGGCTCCCTGTCACCATTAGGATAGGCGGCTTTTATTATTAACACCTTAACCCCACCCTTAACTAGCCTTAACTAGAACTGAGTTGAACTTTGACGCTTTAACGGGAAACTCATGTAATGCTCATGGTTAAGTTTAGTCAACGAACTGTTAAACGTCAACCGAGTTAGTTAACTAACCTTGTCCACCGACTTACATCAGCAAACCCTAATAACTACCTAGTTACCTAACTAAGGCATTTCCCGACTAGATTGGATCACCCAACCTTATTAAAAAGTTGAATAAAAATCGAGTTGATAAACTTAAAGAATTGATATTTACTTTTGTCATTCATGAGATTTTTGAATACAGCAGATGTATTAAAAATTTATAAAGCTTAGTCAATACTATAATCATCTTTTATAAGACGTAAATTGATAAATACGATAAATAAATAACTGCTATTTAAAACTTCATATGCTTTTTTGTTGTTATTGATAATCTTAAAACTAACTTTAATTTCTCTACATTGAACTTGTTGATAATTATAATGTTTAGGAAAAGAGATAAAAAATTTCATATAATCAAAAGATGAGTTAATTTTCTAATGGAAAGAAATCTAAAGAGTAATTCTCATTTGATTATTTCTAACACTTATTAAGAATTTTTCTCTTCTACTTTAGTCAAATGATTTGAATTTTCAAATAAAAATTATACGTGAGGAACAGTGAACCAGAGCAGAGATGAAATATCATACAGTCTCCTGCATAAATCATGAATAAAGGTTACTTTCTTTATCCTTAAAGAAAGTGTACAATTGATTTTCCTCTAATTCTAGAGATTTTTATTATTTTTACTTTTGTTGTGAATTGTGAATTGATGGAATTCTGATGCAGTTAAAGGTAGATTGAGGAATTGCACCGTTTCGATGTTGGTTGATCCGCTCGGTTGGGAATTAGGTTATCCGTCATCTCCCAAAGCGGCAATCTTAACCACGGCTCCTCAGCTAATTTTAACCGGCGCAGGCTTCTGTTTGACTTCAGATGGTTCAAGTAACTATGGGGTCTCCCAACTCTATAAATAAGCCAGCCATCGGTCGTCGTCTCTATCATCACCTTGCATCTCCGAGTTATGTATATATCTCCCGACTCTCTTTTCCTTTTTCTGCTGGATCTCGCTGGTTATTCCTGACCCTCTTTCGCTGCTCCACTGCTCCTCATGTCACTGCTGGGTAGATAGGGTGGGGCTTCCTACCACTTCATTCTCTTTGCTCTGCGTTGACGTTAATCATTGGGGGGTCCATTTAGGGTTGTCTATCTCTGGGAATTTCCGCAGAGATTCTTAGATTGTCTCTTTCGCTAGCGATCTTCGTGGAATCTGGCACGATGCCTGCTTCACTGTTCACCCATCCAGCCCTCTCTCCTGAGAATCTCCAGACCATTGGGGAAGAACTCAATTTACCACCACCGCCAACATTTGAAAATCACCAACAACAACCCAATGCTGAACTTGCTAGTCTCGAAGAATCAGAGTTGGATCCCGCGTCCTCATCTGCAGCTTCCGCATGCACTTTGACTGCTGTTTCACACTCCATACTTCGGGACTCTCCCCGGAAGCCTGACCCACTGAAATTGAACAATCAGATCGCGACTCGCAGTAACGACCAAAAGAAGGCTGGTGATGCCCCCTCTGCTTCTTTCGCCTCTCAGCGGGAATTAAACCCTCCGCTTCCCGACTCCCCGGCCCCCCTCGTCAGCCCGGCAAAATCCTTCTTGCAGCATCATAAAAACTCGCGATCAATTGACTCGATACCGTTCCAGACAATCATGAAAGCCCTCGCCTCAAAGGGAAACAGTTCTTCCGGTGCCCCACTCCCCCTTGCAGCATCTCTAGCTAGCCTTCTTTCACAATCCCGCAATGACGGAGCCAACAATTCTTCCCGCAGACTCTCTGGGACCTTTCCCGGCCCGAGCGCATACCATGAAAGAACCCCCTCCACTGCTCGTTTTCCGCTAAAATCTCCTTGCTTCTATCATCAGCGATTTGACGATGCGGTCAACATTGAAAAGGTTCTTGAGGAAATAGCTGCGGACGAGTGGATATCACATTCACGGTTGATGCAAACGGCCACCGGCGTTCGGGAAGTTTCGAAGCAATTGCAGCGGCGCCCTATCAAATTGGCGGTCAAAAATGTAATGATTGTCACGAAAGCGCGCGATAATCGTCTGGTACACCTTACACGGGATTTGGCGGAATGGTTACTGAGCACACCACGATATGGCAGTGATTTGGGGGTGAATGTTTATGTCGATCACAAATTGCAATGGTCGAAACGTTTCGACGCTCCAGGGCTTTTAGCGAAAGAGCCGCGGTTTGAACATATGCTGAAGTACTGGACTCCAGACCTTTGCTGGTCATCACCAGAAACTTTCGACTTGGTCCTAACTTTAGGGGGAGACGGAACTGTCTTGTATACGTCTTGGCTATTTCAACGCGTTGTACCTCCCGTCCTGTCGTTTTCATTAGGGAGCCTCGGATTTTTGACAAATTTCGAGTTCGACAAATACAAGGAGCACCTAAATCAAATAATGGGTGACGTAGGTATGCGCGTGAACCTACGTATGAGATTCACTTGCACTGTCTACCGTATGGATCAGAGACATGGGCATCTGCCAGGAGCAGTTGTAGAGGGAGAGCAGTTCGAAGTGGTAAACGAGCTGGTTATTGACCGCGGACCTTCACCTTATGTCTCAAATCTCGAACTATATGGTGATAACGAGTTGTTGACAGTGGTTCAGGCGGACGGTTGTATATTCTCTACTCCTACAGGTATTTATCCCGAACCTTCTGGTTTTACTTGTTCCCGCCAGACTAACGCTTTGTAGGATCAACTGCATACTCTCTCTCGGCTGGTGGATCTCTTGTCCATCCTTCCATTCCTGGAATTCTTCTTACACCCATATGCCCACACACCCTCTCCTTTCGTCCCATGGTACTATCAGATGCTATGCTCTTGCGAATTGCCGTTCCCACAGCTTCCCGATCCACTGCCTACTGTTCCTTCGATGGTAAAGGCCGTATCGAGCTCTGTCAAGGAGACTACGTCACCGTCGAAGCGAGTCAGTACCCGTTCCCCACTGTGGTTGCGGGTGCAGGAGAATGGTTCGAAAGCGTCCGACGTGCGCTGCGCTGGAATGTTCGCGGGGCAGTCCAAAAAGGCTGGAACTGTGATACTGAAGGGCAATCAACTGCTCCTAGCGTTGAAGATGAAGAAGAGGAGCATTGGGATATCGACCCAGACACAACTACGCCGCTTGGGACGGGGACCGATAGCGGGTTGGGTCCAAGTGAGGATGGTGAAAGCCCTGGCCCTGACTCAATGAGTCCGCTTCGAAAACAGATGGGCTTGTTTAGTTTGTAGATATAGAATATCTTTGTGTATCTTCTCTTCTGATATGCGTAACGGCCATGTTTGTTCGTTTTATCCTCCATTCTGATTATATTCCAGCGCGTTATTTATATTATTCCCATTCACATACACAGTTTCCTGCATACACTTTTCTGCTCTATTCTAGAGAAGGGATTTCTGATATTTCCCCTTTAACCTCAGTTTCATCCCATTGCTATTGAAGATTTCAGATCCGGTGCATTCTCATGGGAGTATATATTATGTTTCTCATGTTTAGTGAAACAATTAGAATAATCAACTAAGCTATCCTTGCACTCGAAGTGTATGATTCTCGGATTTCCCGTTGGATCTCCCGCGTGTCAAAGAGAAGAACAAAAAAACAGAAAATGGTTCATCACTTCAACGGTCACGCGAACTATGCTCTAGCTCCAGCGATAGTTACCATGCAGCTCATTGCAAGACCGTGCGCAGAATCACAATACTGCTTCCACTTTTCCCTAAACAGGGAAAAGTCTATGCGTCAAATTCCAATCGCTTGAGCTCTGATTTCAATGTTTTAGGAACAACCCTCAATCCCCTCAAAAACACCATGCGTCCCCTTTCTGCTGCAACGTGCTTAATTAGCGGTGCAAAATATTGCGCGAGGAATTTCAGAATGCATAAGTTATTTGGAGTCAAGGCGCAACTTGGAGTTGTAGCAAGGCATCAAGGGGACTGACTCTATGCGAACAAGAACCATTCTAGACAGCTATTCCGTCTGAATGGATCTAGTTTTAGTCCAAGAGCGATCTTAAGAAGTTCGTATTATTATAGTTTCTTTATTCTTTATATAACTATTATTAATATGTTCACCTGAGCAGAACTTTTATTCCAAGTTTCCCGTTATTTACGCTCAGGACCCTTCCTTTACATGCCTGGGTAGATCGCCTTAAAAAGCGGCATTCACACCCTGTCCCTTTTGGCAGATCCTGTTTGAATCTCCACGAGTGTGTTCTCACCTGCAGCATGGACTATTTCTCTTTCGGCCCCTCATCTTCCCAAGAAGCAGTTATGGCTCACAGTTCAGCATACCAGTTGTTCCTTTGCCAAGCTATATGCCTATAGTTCGACGAGATGAGGTCAGAATCCCCATCAGCACCATTCCTACTCCCAACAGATTTGCTCTTCCTCTACCAAGTCAAATTCTTGGAAATTTTCGATTTGAGTCGATAGTTATATTAGCTCTCTGGGGGATGGATCCCGAGTGCTTAATCTCTCTTCCGGCCCGAGCTTTCTATAGTTACTCCTGATCTTTCTCGGCTAAGGTAATTGGCAAAGTTTTGGATCGGACCAGAAACACAGCCACTTCCGTTCAGAAGCATGTCGCCAGAACAATAGCATAAAACTATAAACTTGCCTGAAACTTGAGAATATGTTATTCGAATTCCGCGCCCAGTCCTTTCCAATAAGCCGAAGCATGTCTCCAGGGGCCGGAGGCATGTGTATGAATGATAACAATACACGGGCTCTTTGATCCTTCAGGCATAAATCGATTTACGGTATTCTGGGTTAGAATACCAGGCATGGGGATATCACGCGGAAGAGAATATTGGGAAATGGTGCTCCTCTTGTTGGTCGGGCGTATTTCCAATCTTGCCATGTGAAGGAAAATCCCCTCAATGTCGGACCAATCTTCGAAACGGCGGAAAGGGCCGAAAGAACGTGGGAATGACAGAGAATGCATTGGGAATTCTGACGAAAAGGGTTACAATTAAGGAAAGTTACATTCTTCGAAGTAGATAAAGAAAGTGACACTATTTTTAGAAAACTGGTGATAAGATAGATACGAAACTAGAGAACGAAGCTTATAAAAAACCCAACTATCAGTGGCACAATCGGTACAAATCAATGCAATTTATCTAATGAAATGGAGGTAAACATACGGGTGTATCACCAATCACAACCTTCAGCCAGGACTGCTGCTAGGTTTTCGAGTCCTTCTCTGTCCACTTCATCAAATCCAGATGGCACCGCACAGTCAATGTCGATTAGAGCAACGGTCTGACGTGATTACAATATTAGCCTCCCCCGGTACGGTAGTGATTCGAACAAGGATCTCCATAGCTTCCTTCGATGCACAGAAAATATACCAAGATGTTCAAGGAGAGTAGGAACTCACCTCCCCATTTACCAAAATCGGGACAACAATTTCGCTTCTGCTCTCTGCATCACAGGCAATGTGGCCCTCCCAGTTGAGCACATCCGGTACCAGAACAGTCTCTCGTTTTGCAGCGGCCGTTCCGCATACCCCCCGCCCGAACTGAATTAACTGACAAGCGGGCTTGCCATGAAAGGGACCCAGCAACAGAATTTTAGTGCTTAAAGATTCCTGGGTGTTCGTGTTGGAAGACGACCGTAGAGATGGGAATTTATCTTGCCGAACGTAAAAACCCGCCCAGTTTACCGCGGATGAGGGCTCGGGGAGTGAGGCGAAAGCATGCCATAGCAGAGAAGCAACGTTGGCAAAATTGCTGGTAAAGGTTAGCAGAAGTCAAATAGAATATATGTAATGCGCCAATTAGCAATTAAGCTACACACCTTACCTGTTGTTTCCCCGTAGAATTGATTGTTAGCTTTCTATGCTTCTATGCTGTTCTTATTGCCATCCAAACAATTGGCCATTCCAACACTGCAATGGAGGCCTTTTTTGGGGGTGAAGTTAGAAGAGAATACCCAATTGCGCTGGCCATCCAACAAGACCTTTGCTTGCTCGAGAAGTTGGCTGTAAACCTCTGCCTTTGACAGGCCAGGTGCGAAATGTGACGAATCTGCATGAGGCTATTTCGGATAAATGTCAGAAGCTGCGGAGCTAACTACAGGATGAGCGGGATTAAGGTCACAAATACCATAACGATTACGGTTTTAAGCTGCAGCGCAGAAATATGAGCTTATATTATAGAATAAAGGAGAAGGTTATATGACTACAACGAAAAGAGTGAGAAAATTATATATATGCTGCGCATCAAGATGAAATATCAGAAGAATTGGGGAGAATGAACTAGTTATAGAACTACGGTGTGTTGCTGTCTGCTAAAATAACTGGTTTAACTACTTAACCAGGGTTTCGGTGACGTTATGCATTTCATCAACGATAAGTCCACCTCACAATCACTTCTCCAAATGATAACTATAAATTCCAATATTCCATTCCAAGTTACTACATTATTGCCCAACATAACCTCTTGGTCTCACCAAAGGTCTTTAAATGTGTTGTATCATCGCCTTACTCTCTTTGTGCTTAAGATTGATAACTAGTTATGCCAGGTTTTCTTGACAGCAACGCAGATTCGACTGCGGACAATATCGGGAAATTAGATTATTGGCGAATCTGTCGCTTGGAGAGCCGATATCCTCTCCCAAACTGACTAGTTACTTGCAGCGGTTACTCGCAGCGTGCCGCGTGGGGGTCCTCCGCGACAGTAACAACGATTGCCAGAGTTGCATAGGCTCTAGATAAACGTCGGGGTTCAATGCTTGAGTTAAAATACAACCTATGTCTGGGTGGAAAAATAGTTCTTCAGGACCTGGATCAGGATGCGTTTCTCAGGTCTTTTTCTGTTCTCGATTTTCACCGAACTGAACAATGCCGCGGATATTATATTTCCTTTGGTTGCGGGCTATTAACGACGCAATTGTTTAATTACCGCTGGGGACTGGATGATACTATTGATACCGTCTCTGGTAGTCAGTTCTCAGGATTGATGATATTCGCAAATATCCCGTACGTTAATTGCTTCGTGGACCTTGAAGCAGAGAAGCATTGATATGATATTGCTTTCTTAGGGGCACCCTTGGACACGGTATACCCAGTCCTGTATATTCAGCATGCACGGTTCTCCCTGTCAGTCCCGTCTTGATCTAACAAGCCAATTGAGCCTCCTTAACATTGGGTATTAACTATCGATTCTCCATGAGAGATATAGGGTGTAACCGCCCGTCCTAGGGCAAGACAATGTCCTGGAGGGATCCACCCGGGTTCGCGACGCACAAGACAGTGTCTGGAGCATCTATACGGGAAAGAACGTTTGTACATATGTTGATTGTGGTGATGCTCCTTTGACATTTTTGGATTATGCTATCGCTTTGAAGCAGCTTGATAAGGCGCACAATGTGAAGTCATTTCACTGAATCCGGGTGTTTTCACGGAACCTTTTTTGTATCTGCATTTAAATGCCATCATTAAAATTGCGATGTTATGTGCCTCCGAGATATAAGCGAGAAATTCTCAAGCTGTTCACCGTATTCCAGTTGTCTTGCTTTTAATCTCAAGGTTATTTTCTCCAGGTATATCATCTCGACCCGCCAACTCGTCCAATGTTTCGAAATACCTTACATCATGCCCCTTGTCGGTGATCATACGACAACGACGCTGTCTGCCCTGCGATCAACACAAAAACGTTAGGGCCCGGTATTCATAATGAATTTTGATAGACATACCGGTTGGTAAATTTTCCCTGACTCCCGTGGGTTTCGATATGAATCGGGCTTATACTCTGCGTTTACCGAATCTATTGATTAACCTCACTTTCTTGGACATTCCAGACGCATGGGACCCTTCCGTGCTAGATGCTTACCCTCCCGTACTATTGTATATGTGGGCAGTGATAACTTAGAGGCTGAATCTGAATCCAAGTGTCAGCGTGTTGTGTTGGGCATGACCGCCCGGTAGCCGCACCACCTCACGTGATGTTCGCGTATATCAGTTAGCTGGCCAGTCCTCCCACCAGTGGAAGACCAACCATCCCACATGTTGTAAGCAGGCCGCCCGTTGGTCACGTGATCTCTGATCATATCAACGTGAGTTTGACACGTAGCTAGATCAATGCAACAACGTTCTTCATCCAACACAGAGCTTAAATCGGGAGCCAAACCAGCCATTTCAATCCTTATAGCTGGTAACTAGTTAGTGACGCCTTAATGAACTGGGTTTGCAACTACATGCCTGAGATGTTCTTCCATGTTTAGCCCATATCGCAAACAGACCTTTTCAAATTGAAAGGACTGAGAAGGCTACCTTTTCAGCGGATCGTTTTCCACTTTTTATTTTAAACAGCAGGATTACAGGAATAATGGACTACGGTCAACTCTCCGGAAAACTCGAACAGCAGTAGTTGACTTATTTCACTTTAGATCATTACACGCTCTCGTGGCCCCAGATCCTTCTTACGAGTTATCCGAGGCTGTGAAAAACGGCATACTCCAAACACACAAGAAAGTAAGAGAAAAGGTACATTATTATAAGTGTAAAACCAGTCAAAATATGCTCTCTTACAACATTGTGTACACAGACATTTCAAGTACAAGAGAAAGAATACTGATAGCGCGAAAATTCATTATAAAATACAATCGTCAGATGGAATGGGGAATAACGCAAGACAAAAAGAGAAACATTGGGGTAAACACAGAGAGTGGAAAATTCGACCCTTGACTATTCAATAATAGCAACAGGAACGAAGAAAGACACCCGGAACAGCAAATGAAGACAGAGAGTTAAGCGCTCAGGTAAAAACCAAATGTGAGTACAGATATTACATGATTTAGACCACGATCAATGAAACGCCAAAGAGCTTAGACGCCCCAACAACAATGGAACACAAAAGGAAAGCAGATGCGATCTTGGGGGGCCTAAGGCCAGCAGCAGCACCTTGAGTATTTAAGGCAAAGGGTTGACCTGCTTTCACGCCATTGGCGCCAGATCCGGGGCCAGGTGATCCAGAGCCAGCGGTCTGGCTACCATTACCGGCAAATCCAACACCATCGCCAGCACCTCGCAAGAGGTATATTTTGGCACCTTCAGGCATGGTTGGAAGAGCCTCGTCACCGACATACCAGTTGGGAACGTCTTTCTTGGGGCAAGGGTTTGCACCGCCAGTTTTGTTGAATCCGCCATCACCGGATGGGGTCTTTGCGTTAGCAAATGCTTCCTTCAGTTTGTCGAAGTCAGGGAGTTTTGTAAGCTTGCCGTCCTTCAATTGGACCAGGCCAAAGTTATCAGGTTCCGGGGAGTATTCGTAGACGAGACCGCCAGAGAAGACACTGGTAATGTTGCTAGAGTACAAAGCCGTCACTTCGTTCCAGTTGTGCTCACTCCTATTGCAGCCGTTCTCTGAAAGGAAAAGGGGGATTCCGTAGCCGGTGAAAGCTTGGACCTTCTTGTCCCAGCCGGATTTTTCAACGGAAGGTGGATCGCACCAGGAGAAATCGTTGAAAGCGAAGAAGTCACTGCGCTCATCGCCAGAACCACAGTTCATATATTGTGCCAGGTGGACACGGTTGGTATCGACATCAGCCTATTAACAAGTAACATCGTGAGCTGACCATAGGCCCCCTATATTTACTTAATTCACGCTTAAAGGGAATACAATTCATACCGCAGAATATCCGACGGGGACAGATCTCATATTTCGTGAGTGGAGGAATTTGTGAATATCACGTGTGACCGCCTTGACATAAGGGGCAGCCTTTGATGAATTACCATCGTTAATGACCTCGTTACCAGAGAAGAAAGCCTGTGATCGGCGTTAGCAAAGAGATGATGATACATAAGATATTCGATGCAATTCGACGTGGTCTAGAATACCAGGGTGTTGTCATATTTGGCGAACATTTCGACCGTCGCAAAGACATTTTGGAGGTAGGCGGCATTATATGAATTATTAGGATCTATTTTTTTTAAAAAAAAAAAAAAGAATCCAAAAATAAAGAGAGAAAAAGCAAAATGTTAGGCAAATAATGTGAAATGTTTCTGCGTCATATAAGGCGTCAAGACGTACCAGTTCTGCTGAGAGAGTACTTAGGGGTGTTGACATCAAGGGCAAGGTAGATGCCAGCGTCAGCGAGTGCTTCCATGCATTCGTCGTGGTTTACGCTGTTGTCGACGCTGTAGACACGGATGGTGTTCACGCCCAATTCCTTGAATTTGGCAATGTCCCGTTTGCAAATTCTGGGCTCAGCGATTGGGTCCTTGAGATTGGATGACCATCCCTGAAAAGAAGTTCAGCAAACTTTCCCCTATACGTATGGGGAACATCCTGTTCAACGGATCACTAACTGGTTGATAATCTCTATATCCAACACATCCAATTAGCAATTGTTCCGCATGATTTAGTAGAAAACCGAAAAGAGAAATTTTTCGTAAATAAAAAGGGGGTTGGACTAGACTTACATTCCGCGCAAGTAGAAACGCTCCTTGCCATTCCAGAATGCTGGGAAATTGAGAACAGTTATTAAACTTTCATTGAGCCATTTTCATAGAATAAAGGCTCAAGGCTCACCATTTCCTTTTACTGTGATGGGGGCGATCTTGTTCGTTTTAAATTTGACACTGTTGGCCTTGCCAGCAAGAGCAGATGAGGCGAGCACTGCCGCGGTTAACGCAGACGCAGCTATGGCTTTCATGATGTAATTTGGGGGTATATTATATCAGAAGTCAGATACTTGATTTATGAGTTGCATTCATTAATTTTAAACGTTGGAAAGAACGACGAATTCCCCTTAAGGAGATGAAAAGAGACAAGAACATTGTTAAGGGGTCTTCCCGAACGAGGGAAAGGAGAAATATATGGAAGACAACTGAAGAGAGATTAACCCTGAAATGAAGGACAATCTAATCTTGCATCTCTCTCCGAAGAGAGATGCAAGAGCAGGTAAAATTGTACCAGACGGGAATACGAGAAATGAAGCACCTCAAAGTGGATCATTCCATTGTAAGAAAGGACGCATAGCATCCAAAGCAGGGCAGGCAAACAACGTAGCGGCATCATATTTCAAGGTCATCATCATTACCAAGAACTCGAATCACAAGGACGGAATTCCTTTGGGCCAGAGAGTCTCGAGATACGAGCTGTTATCCTGGAGTAAAGCTTGTTGAGAGGTGATGGTTATTCACATTGGCTGTTAGGGTCCTAGATAGCGCCACTGTAAAATCGTTTTTGCCATTCCCTCCCCCCCAACCCCGAACTTATACCCCAAGTCCCCTGAAAAGATGAGCAGAGCAACACTGGGTTCGGGTACCCCAAGCCCGTAGACCAGAGCCTTAAGTTGGCAAACGTCTGCAGTACCAAATATTAGCTTTGCCACCCGCTGACTTGACTTTAAAGCCTCAACTCCACTCTGAGTTAGTTATTTAGAGTCCATAAGTGCAACGGAACAAAACCACAAAAGATATCAACAATTTATTTGATTCCCTCCCACATCTCGTATTCCGATTGAAAGCTTCCTTGAAGATCCCCAGTAGCCACCTCCATCAGGCTCAGAAGTTTTCTACTGTCGAGGAAATGATCACATAACGTTAAATTGACGGTAACTAGCACCACGCCACCCGTGCTCTGATCAACCCCTTGGGCCCCTGGCCCTGACTCCGGGTCCCATCTTCTCCTTCGAGATCATCCATTGCCATAAACCTTGGCTTTTTGAAGTCATAAACTTGCAATTGCCTTTCCTTCTACAGGTAAAGATTTACGGACACAAAGAGTTACGAGATGTAATATAGACTTCTGGTACGGAGTACCCTACCACATAAATTGATCAATTTAAGACGACTCCCTTTGAAGTATCAGAGCTTTAAGTGAAAGCATGTGAGCATCATATAGGCTGTGTAGATAGTTTGAAACATCCATCCTGGCATAAACAAGTATTTGCGTGTATAACTACGGAGGTAGGGAATGGGTCAGCTAGATTGGATATTACAACCACGCAAAGTTCGAAAATGACTGACGCTGACCAATACATAATAAACAAGAGACCGGACAGCGAAATCTCCACAGAATAAAATAAGCAAACGTGAAAGGCCAGATCGCAAGGCACGTTGCTGCACACGCAATAACGGCAAACCTATGAGCCCATGTCCAGTAGCAAGGCCAGCGCTCAACGACTATACCTACACCTCCTCAATATAATTCGCAGGTACACTCTTCGTCTGTCCCCCCTTCTCAACATCAGACCACCCATTCCCACTATCTCGATTCACAAGCACGAATCTATCCCCCTCCTCCATACTCCATTCTGCATCACTGCGCGCTTCGTAGGCATATAGGGCAACCACATATTGTAACTTTTTAGCTCCACGCTTAGGTGTCACGGCTGGGCCGCGACGTTTGCCCCCAGCACTGCCCGCTAGTGAGGCGCTGGAGGTAGAGTACGCAGATCCCGGGCGCTTGGGGAGGTTGGGGCTAGTTGATACGGAGGAATACGGGGTTGACATAGTTTCCACGTAGGAGGCAGGAACGAGGCCGGAACGAGTTCCTGCACGTACACGCATCCAGCCGGATCCGTCTATTACGGTATTCAGTGTAAGAAGACTTGTGGTTAGGGGATATCGGATGTGGTAACGGGTTGGGAAAAAAGGAATAACCGGCTACATACCATCTGGCTCAACAATAATAACCTCCCGGCCTTCCCCAACTGTAATTTCGTCCTCACCGTTGGCGTCGTACGGATATAACATTTTTCCTCTTGGTTCGTTCGACTTTGGAGAAAAGCCAGCCCGGCCACCAGACTCTGCTTCTTCAGATGGTGGAGGAGGCGCACTGACATACTGTGCTGGAGGAGGAGCAACAATCCTGTTCCTCCGGGCTCCTATAGAGGGTTTTGTCGCGGATTTGGTAGCAGCCGGAAGAGATTCAGGAACCTCTACCGCTCCTGCTTCAGTTGTTTGCGGGTTTAAGACAACAGATGTCGAGCGGGCCGTGCTGGCAGCATATCCCGAGCTTAAAGAGTTCATGGTATCTCTGCGGCTCAATGCTGGTGGTTCAGAAGCTCCATTTGGCGACATCGGGAGATCAATTGCAGTTCCTGAGCCAGCAGCTTCTTGTCGTTCAATCTTCAGCTTCTTTTTCTCCTCTTTATTCTGTTCACCCGGACATTCTGCTGGCACTTTCATTTCACATTTACTATGACAAGTGTAGCCACAATCTCGACAGTCGAACCCCTTAGCGGATAAGCCCCAGATCCTCTCACCACATAGATCACAATTTGTGGGAATTTTAAATGTTTGTGATCGAAAATTATGGCTCCTTGCTCCAAAGGATAAATCACCGACAACGGATGTGATAGTTGAAGTTTCAACCTCTGCTGTCAATCGTTTGCGGTCCAAAAGGTGAAGGTCCTCTTGCATGGCAAATATGGACCGAACAACTTCTGCTTCATCTCTCTTATCCTTACCGTCACGGACGCTCTGCCGTATCCTTTTTGCCTTTTCGACCTCTCTCCTCTTCTTATCTGCCTCCACCTTTAGTTCTTTCGCCTGAGCTTTGCTTCTTGTAAGTATGTTTTGAAGAAAGATCTTCGCCGTCTCGTCTGTGACCATGGTAGCATCGTCATGCCATATAGGGCTTGGTTCAAATTGTATATCGGCAGGATCCTGCCAGTTTGACATGTTGTGCCGAACGAACATCGTAGAATCGAGTCTGGGTTCATTCCGCGGGATTTCAGAAATGAGATGGGAAATATGCTCCTCAGACTTTGCCAGTGTCGATTTTTCCAGCTGGGCAGCCAGCAGCCAAATCGAATTTAATTTCGCAACCCTGGTTTCATTGAGATCTTGTAATCCCTATCATGAAGATGGTTATTGAAAATTGCCTTTAGGCAAAGATGATAAGGGTTGACCATACATTAAGCAATTCCGGGACATACTCATAATAGTATTTCTCTTTCAGTTTGTTGGTTACGTTTATAGAAATCAAATAGGTGTTCTGTAGTTAATTAGTGGGAAGGGGCTCATGTTCCCGGAATGAATGCCATACCTTCACGTTATTCATTTCAAGAATCTGCTGTTGGTATGCAACCTGCGCCTTATGTTTTCCGTGATCGAATGCAGATTCAGTCTTCTTCCGTCGGTTTTCTACTTCTTGGCAAGTCCCATCATATCTACCTTTTACCTTCTTCAAATCACTATAGGTGGCTTCTTGTTCCTTCTCCAGCTTGCTAGCATACTCAGCATGATTTCTTCGGAGCTCTTCGAACCGTGCTGCAGCCTGTTTGAGGGGCTCTGCGACTTGATAGACCAAATCTGAGCCAAAACGATCTCGTTCTGCAGCCTCCGCCTCAATAGCCGTGAGCTGAGTAGACCAGGTAGTCAATGACGCACATTCTAGGGAACCGGGTGTTAGTGTTGGGGTATCCCCAACGCTCAGGCTACTCGACTTCTTTGCCTTGCGCTCATGGTATTTCCGACATAATGCTGTAAGTTTCGTGGCATATTCCTTCTCGATTGCACTTCGTTCACGGTAGAACTGCTGGATCTCATCCAGCCATCCAATTCCGTTCGAGACCTTAAAAACCTTAACTTAACATCCTGGCTACAGAACTGATTTCATGGGGTTTACAAGCATTGGTGTCTGTTGATAAGAAACGGAGTACGGGAAAGGAGGGTGAAGAAATGAGGGGAAGATAAGGCGTACCCAAGCATTGATGGGTTTGAAAGCGTCCTATACAAGAGAAGCGGTTAGATTACAATGTCAATAAAAGGACGTAAACCAGAAATATACCTTCAATTCAGACCCAAACTGCACAGAAGAATCCACATCCGCCATTGTTATCCAGCCCCATGCACGGTGGTGCGCAGTCTCCCAGGCGCCTTAGTCGAGAACACAATCCAGAGACAAGCTTGGACACCTGAGCAAGACATGCAAAGGAAAACCACAGTTTTGCAGTGTAGTTACCTGATCAGAACAGAAGAGACAGCATGTCAGTCAAACGCAAGTATCAGCATTCATTGATGACCATTAATGCCAACATTGGAGTCAGCAAGTTGAAATCTCATGAATATCCCACCAGCCTACGACCGAGTCACAATCACTCAACCACATCCAGCCCCAATATCCATCCACTCACCGGATGCGCTAGACCTATTTAGGACTAGTCGTGTTCTAGAAAAGTGACAGCTACGGCAAATAACGAGCTAGTCTTGTTTGGGCATACGCCAAGACGCCAATACAAAATTGAAATAGCCCCTATCTGCCTGTTGATGACTCAGCAATGTAGCAACTAGACAAGCTTCCAACAAGATGACTTTTTTCGATGGTTATTTATCTTCAACGACCTGACGGCAACGGTGAAGAAACAACAAGTTTGTTGTGATTCACCCCGAGTGTTTTTCTTGCGAACGATTGTTCTGATCCCTCCATAGCGACGCTGGTTTCCCGCCGCCTTCCTCTCAGAAAATCATCCCTCGTTCGATTCGCCCTTTCTAACCCCCCTCAATACCCCTCCCTTAAATTTTTAGACGTTCATCCAAGCTTCCGGCCACCTACATTCACATTTCTATTTCACTTTTTCATACTTTATATACGATCGCGATTTGCTATAGCCCATTTTTAGCCCAACGCCGCATTTTCAGCGCAAAGATGGCGTCGGAAACACCCGCCGGAGGTCGGCTTGAGGATCGCATTTCTCGAGAAGAACCCAAATCGGATTCTGCTGCTACATCTGCTCTTTCCGGTAATTTTTACTATACATCCTGCTTCTTGATGCAAACCAGGGTCCCTTAGACTCTCTTTGCATCCCTTCAAACAGTGTTACTGATTATGCGAAACAGAGTCTACCCCTACAAACCAATTAGCTGCTACGGAGGCCACAGTTGCGGGTGCCCAAACCGATGGAGCTTCCGCAGACTTTGGAGGATCTCAGCTGCAGGAGCCAAACTATTCAGTCAATGTTAAGCTGAGTGACCTGCAAGCTGACCCAAATAATCCACTATACTCAATTAAAAGTTTTGAGGAACTTGGGCTGTAAGCCATCGTCCTTCTTCCCCCATTCGAATTAGTTCTCCCGGAGCTTATCATTGCTCAAAATATAGCCATAAATCTATCCTCGAAGGCCTCCATGCCATGAGCTTCCGTCGGCCGTCTAAAATCCAGGAGAAGGCTCTACCACTTCTCCTAAATAATCCCCCCGCCAACATGATTGGGCAATCGCAATCAGGTACAGGGAAGACTGCTGCATTCGTCCTAAATATATTATCTCGTCTTGACCTGTCTCCACAAATGGAGCTTGTACCACAGGCTTTAGTACTCGCACCCAGTCGTGAGTTGGCCCGCCAAATTGTCGGGGTCATCCAGGTTATGGGCTCTTATGTGGAAAAGTTAAAGGTCGCTACGGCCGTCCCTATGGAGTCCAATCGCAATCAGAAAGTGGGAGCTCCTGTTGTGGTGGGCACCCCAGGAACCGTGATGGATCTCATCCGAAAAAAGCTATTCAATACCCAACATTTGAAAGTGCTCGTCCTGGACGAGGCAGATAACATGCTTGACCAACAAGGCTTGGGTGACCAGTGTATTAGGGTTAAAGGGTAACCTCCCTGTTATAATTCCATATTCTTGATATCCGCTTGTAACTAACATCGTTACAGACTACTTCCAAGAACTGTTCAGGTTGTGCTTTTTTCAGCCACTTTCCCTGACCACGTTGTTCGTTACGCCAACAAATTTGCCCCAAATGCCAACCAGATCACTCTCAAACATGAAGAGTTGACGGTTGAGGGCATTAAGCAGCTCTACCTTGACTGTGACTCGGATGAGCATAAGTTCGATATTCTAGTGAAGTTCTATGGCCTTCTTACCATTGGGTCTTCTATCATATTTGTGAAGGTAACAAATAATTCTGAAAGCGGATAATTCTGTCCCCAGTCTAACAGCCAACCACAGACCCGGGCCTCAGCAGCTGAGATTGAACGACGAATGGTAGCCGAGGGGCACACCGTAGCGTCCTTGACTGGTGGTGTTGAAGGGCAGAAACGTGATGAGATCATTGACAAGTTCCGTCAAGGTGAAGCTAAAGTTCTCATTACCACCAATGTCCTGGCTCGAGGGATCGATGTGCAGACCGTATCGATGGTCATCAACTATGTATGTTCAATCTTCCCAGAAAAACGCCTCTTGAGACCCTCCACCCTATTAACTAATCTTTCACACAACAAAAATGTAGGATATTCCCGAGCTCCACGCTCCACAAACCACCAAGCGTGTAGCTGATGCCCAGACATACCTGCACCGTATCGGTCGTACCGGCCGCTTTGGTCGCGTTGGTGTTGCCGTTTCCTTCGTTGCCAGTAGGGAAGAATGGCAAATGCTGCAGGACATTAAGAGCTATTTCAACACCGATATCCAGCGGGTGGACACTCGCGATTGGGATGAGGTTGAGGCCGTGGTGAAGACAATTATCCGCAGTTCCAGGGCTGGAACCAACTTCAATGCGCTTAACTCCCAAAAGGAGGCAAAATGAAAGAAACCTTGCAACCTACCAATATCCCTTCTTCTCCATTTCTGCATACCTTTACAACGATATTGGCTCCATTGTGGCACCCAGCCAAATTAAGTAGAACCATGATTCACGTTTATTATTATGTGATGATTACCATGCCCAAAAATTTCTCAAATTTCGACGAGGAAGAAATCATTTTTTTTATACCATGAACAACCTTTTTTCGACCTACAACTTCGGCTGAACTAATTTCCGTGTGCTTTATTTCCCGAAAGTTTCCTTCTATTTTGCCCTGTGAGACGAATCAATGAACAATTCTTCACTCCCAAAATATCGAGCACATTGACCAATTTTATATCCCATGAATTTCTCGCATTGTCTTGTTTGGGTGGTGCACTAGACACTGTTTTTCCACTCCACTTTTACAGAATATTTTACAGATATCAAAATCGTTTTCTTTTGGTCTGTGGTACAAGAATGGAAATTGAAGCTCAGGAGTTGAGAAGGAAATCAACAATTAAAAAGATGGTAAAATGATTCCATTGATTTGATGTCTCGTTTTTACGCGTGCTGGAACAAAACCGGAGAAATTAAATCGAATTGGGCGAATGTTTTGCTCACACCACTTTCGAAGAGACTTTCCACTCCATCATTCATATCAAAAGTGCAAAAAAATTCGTTTATGTTTTGCTTCTGCCAATGCAAAACATCATCGTGTCGCTTGCCATGTCCAGATAAGACTAGTGTGGTTCAGTTCTAGCCATCAATGGACTGCAAGTGTCGCAAATCTAAAATATTTCTAAAACAGATCAATCATGATAACAAATCGTCAATTTTGTCTACTATAATTAGTATCGATCCCAACAAACCTGCATTGACAGCGCAGTTTGAGTTGCTATCGAATTATTAGGGAAACAAAAGGAAACTTTAAAAGCTTCTCGTTGGCCTTCTTGGACTGTCATTGTCAACTTTTGCGACGAAAAAAAGTGCGGATAATGCTCTTGAGCCATTATCTCCTTCAAAATATCCCCCAAAGCTTCTTGATGTCTCTTATGGTGCTGACAGAAGACCGTTAGCTACATGACTATGATTGCTTTCCTCGAGGGATACCCATTACATCCGACTGCGTACGCTTTATCGATGCTCCAAAATACATGGGTTTATCCACACAAATCAAGGGTGCCGCTGAGACTTGCTGCGTTGGAATTAGGTGGCTGATGGCTTGTATATAATGAATTGGAGAGGCTTTCTTGGAGACAAATCCTCGTTGATGGCGTTGTGGAAGGGGAAATATAGTGCGAATAGTTTCTGCATTTTTTATGGCAGTTGAGGAAGAGGTTGTTGGCTGGATAAACAATATATGAATACACTCGAGAGATTCAAGTGGGCCCCCATCTTGAGTAAAATTGGCTTTCTGCCAGCGCAGAGCAGCTCTTCCTACTCACATCACCACCCATCTCCAAGCAGCAATACCAAGGTCTTTAAACTTGACGGGGCTCACCAAGTTAGCAGAGAGCTGGATTGCTTTTGCTCACTTTAGAAAGACCAAATCATACTCCAGGCTGCTTGTTCTTCTGGATGGCCGTTCCCAGGTATACCTCGTTGGAAGGGGTGGATTTTAAGCTTATCGACAACAGCCCATACTGACAACAAAACATTGGAGAATTTATGGCGGTAACTACACAATAGTAGCTCTCCAAATATTTTCTTTGGGTTCTAACGATGGGTCGTCCTCATATCTCCTCTCAAGATTCAAGCCATGAAGGTCTGAAAAGCCATTGCTCACCCAGTTCTGAAACACATCGCAATCCCTATTCACAACAGGGCTTGTTGAGAGGTTTGTTGTACATATCTGCCGTCGGCTTGGCCAGAATCCATGGCATCTCGTAAGAGGACCGTTATCATCTGGTTATGAGAACCAAACACGCCTCGTGTCCTAGCCCAAAACACACACTGATTCCCCTATTGGATAATTTGCTACTAGTTCTTAAGTAAGGATTCTCTTTCGTGGTTCCAACATTCTGTGTGAGTCAAACAAACCTTAACTGAAATTTACTGAGGCTATGCTGGTCCAAAATTCCAGCCTGCTGAAAGAGGATTCAGTGACTGTTCAGTAGTAAAGTTCGAATCAGGAATCAGATCAACTTCAGTGTATAACTTCACAAACAGAGGTCTGTCACTCATTTCCCCCGTAACATATTGTTAAATGGAAGCGGAGAATCGAGCTAAGGTTAAAGTTCCCAGGGTCAAAACGTTGAGGGGGAGGAGGATATTTAAACCAATTCGGGCAAGAAATTGACGAGATGCAAGCGGCTTTGCATCACTCGGCCAGGTTAGGAAATCCGGTGACAATCCCTAGACTGTTCATATTCCGCTTTGGATATGATTTAGGCCTATCAGGGAACCTGATTACCAACATCGCCGTGGAAGCGATACCAAAAGGGACAAGGGGGCTTCGATTGGACTCTCTCGACATGAGCCTATTCCATCTGTGACCGCCCCCAACGATCTGTTTTGGTTAGCGCTCTGACTTTTTGTTGCATCCGCTATCGAATGTCGCAGATATCAAAGTCTGGAGCAACTTCGGTGTCATCTATGAGTAAACTCTTACCGGGTCGGTATTCCCGCGCTACAATGAATTTATCTTCTCTCCTTTCCCTCTTCTTCCTTTTCTTTTCCGCTCCATCTCTTGTTTTTTGCGGCAGTTCGTCGTTGTTCGGTTATTCTTTTAAGTAAACAAACATACGTCAAAGAGACATCTTAAATGAATCCATATTGACGTAACTACCAGGGCATTATTCCACTACGCCCAATAAACCCTTTATTCTTTGCTACTGCACCTAAAACTCTGTCCTTCATTTTTCATCAGCCGACGTGTGGAGCTTTTATGGTATGCCGGGACTGGTAATTGAGCTTTAATGCTTAATGCTCACGTTTCTATAATTACCACGTTCACCAACATTGTGTCGTTTGGAGTGTGCCTTTGCATCATATCCGCTTTCTATCATTGGCAGTCGATCTCGTTATTCAATCTGCGATATCCCACCTGGCGACCCAGATTGCACCACTTAGATGGTCCCATATTCTGATCGCGCTTGGCGAATTCATATCCTCCTTTTCTCATGAGTACAGAAACGGCAATCTTCGAAGATGTCACGGCAACGCTCGACTACAGCGTTGGAGATTGCATTTCGACTACACACCCAGCGCAGCCATTAGAACCCAGAAGTCATTTTCCTAAGTGTAAACACCCACGGAGGAATGTTCTTGTGGTTATCCAGATGGCTAATAAATGAACAGCATCATGGGCAAATCCGGGCTACAACAAGGATGGAACACGAGGCGTGCCATTAACCGTTGCCCACCGTGGCTTCAAAGCCAAGTACCCCGAAAATACCATGTGCGCATTTTCACATGCTGTCAAAGTTGGTGCGCAGGGCCTGGAGGCTGATATGCACATTTCTAAGGATGGGGTAGTTGTCATTTCTCACGTACGACTGAGGTTCCCTGTCCCCAATTAACCCCATGCTTCGCGGTTGGCGCTCTGATAATTATCCAAGGACGCAACCCTACAACGATGCTATGGTGTTAGAAAACGAATTATAGATTGTGATTGGGAATATCTTAGCACTCTACGCACGATAAAACCACCCTTCGAACCCATGCCACGACTACTCTACTTGTTGCAATACATTTCTGTGCCAGAGCGTTCACACGTGTGGCTTTTGCTAGATATAAAAGTATACTCGCCTTTCATCTCCATTTTTTTTTTTTTTTTTTTGGCTAGGTTTTCACGCAAAAAATGTTATATTATAATAATGAAGGCCTTATTAATCGAGTGGAACAGCTCGATAATGACCCTGAGGCTATCATGCGTGCGATTGCCAAAACAGTACTCTCCATTCCTTCTGTACACCGGCCGTGGAATGAGAGGATAATTCTTGGTTGCTGGGCGGTGAGTTTACCCCTGATAACCTACCAATTTCCATTTGCGTGCCTCTGTGGTGAAAATATTTGTTTTCTACCTGCTTGGTACGGCATAGGAAGCACAACCTTTGTAAACCTGACTTCAAGTGCGGAGTTTCTTCACTATGCACGAATTTTCCTGGGAGGTTCATTATGTTTAAAAATACTAAGTTCTTTTCCTCCAGGCCAAATACTTTCCACTCTGCCATACATATCTCCCTAAATATCCAGTGGCTCTAATCACCTATTCACTACTCTATGCTCGAAAATTTCTCAAAGTCCCTAACATCTCTTTCAGCATCGAACTAAAAGCTCTAATGGGTCCAGGGGGCGCAAAGTTCCTAGCCGACGTGAAGCACTCCCGGCGCCAAATATTCGTCTGGACGGTGAACGAAGAGTCGTTGATGCGATGGAGTGTAAGAAATGAAGTTGACGGCGTTATTACCGATGATCCAGAATTATTAAGGAAAATATCCGATGGATGTGAAGGGGATCGGCTTCACTACGGCGGATATATAAGCAATTTCCACGACAGTGGTGATGACGGAATTACTGTTCTTCAACGCGTCAATGTGTTGGTGGCTGCTGTTATATTGTTTGTTCTGGGTGGCGTGTTTGCCATTGTTCATCCAGCGGATCTGAAGGAATTCACTGAGGAACCATATGAAGAGTATGACAGATGGGAGGAGCTGTGACCTCTTTTTTTTTTTTCCCAGTTAACCTATTGCATATTCGGCGTTTTTGGAGAGTTATCGAATGATAGATTATTCTTTTGAACATCACTTTCTTATGTGTAAAGTCATATATTATCCAACGTGATGATATCAGACATGGGGGGTCAAGTATTGTTTAGTGCTCAGGGTAGATAGGAGCAGTCGTCTAAGAAATATTCCATGTCACATATCATCAAGAAATTCAGCGTCAGATCAGGTAATTCTCTTACTTGGGAAGATGTTTGTTTGATATATTAGAAAATTGGCCCAGCTTTCTAAAGTGAACTGCAGGTTGGCAGTTTCCCAGTGTTTATCTTCGTTTCATTTCACATCTCTAGGCATCTCAAGCTTCCATCATTAAACGTCAAATAAATAAATAGATAGATAAATAGATAGATAGATAGATAGATAGATAAAAATAAATAGATAAATAAATAAATATTATGGACCATCCACAAGTATATAACAGGCAAATGCACAAGCACGCATCTTCCCAACGCACCCTTTGTTAAAGGCCATATCAGGTCAGAGAATTGCGTCGCTAGGCTATGCCACTGCCAGGCATCATCCGTGATATTCTCCTTTCTTCCATTAGGGGCAACGCGATTTCCGTCCTCACGCCGCCAGCACTTGCAAACGAGCAAGTTCCCCTAACGGATCTTAATTCACCCGCTCGTGCACAGCGGCTCCATGGTTTCGAGAACGAGGAAGAGGAGAGGTCACTCTGGTCTGCTCAACCGTGGCAGAATCATGCAGCCTCGACGTTACCCTTCACCTGATGTACGGGGGACCTGAACTCCACCGACGATGAGAGTAGTGGGACGTAGGGGGCTACTCAGTGCCCGTTCTAGAAGGGGGGAATTCTCCGATCCTGCGGTCCTTTTGAACGCTGGAACGGATATCAATATGGATTACAGAAGGTGCCTATCGGCACGGCATGACATTGCATTGTGGCGTGTAATCGACATGATGAAGATAATGGCTTCATAGGACAAGGGAGCTGGGAGGCATGTTCATTATGGGATTTGTTCAAAGAAGACGGCGATGGGCGGAGGAAGCAAGGGGCATTGAAAGAGATCAATCTCCTGGGGCTGGTGGCTCTGGTCATTCTTTATTCATATAATAAGAAATAAAATCGATTGAAAGGATAATAACAGTAAATGGCAAAATATTAAAAGATCCATGTCGTCCTTCAATATGTTTCAGCAGTCAACAAGCATATATTGTGTTCTGATGAAGTCAACATCACATTTAGAATGCACGGCCCATGGGATTTAGAGATTGATCAGGGCAATATGAAACATCGATAAAGGCCAAGCAATGGCAATGAGAAGTTAAAATAAGAGTTTCAAAAATGGTTGAGAGCAAGAGCGTTATAACATAGTTAAGTCGATGGTTAGATAAGGTGGGAACAAAAATAGACGAAGACTTAGGGAATTGATGAACCCGATGTGATTTGAACACATAACCTTCTGATCTGGAGTCAGACGCGCTACCGTTGCGCCACAGGTCCACGTTTGTTGAGGAAACCCTGAAAGGGATTGCTTTAGAGGTAGGCACGCACGCGAACCCAAATGCACGTGACTAATCTACCCTAACTGGTTGCAGACAGAAACCTTCTCTGTGGACTAGGAATACAGCCCTATTCAAAAGCACATACCACAAGGAGTTCCCGGGGAAGAGGTGGGCAAAAATGTTCTTCAGTCCGAAAAGAAATAGCCCATATGAAGAATATGGAAAGAAAATACGTTCGTTGACTCTGGGGAAAACAACGGTGTGACCGGAGAGAGACTCGAGATCCCATTCGAATATGATGTTGACAGAGCCGAAGATCAACGGTAGGACATCAGTTTTCCGCAATGGCATCATGTAAGTCGTGCATTTAGTTTTACGCCAGGGAGCCCGTGCTTCCAGTTCCAAATGCAATTCTCATCGTCTGTGGTGAGATATGGCTTACGCCACCAGCAGTTTTCGTAGGCGCAGGTCGCCGCCATTCGATGAAGTCATGCGCAGTTTAGGAAAATAACATGTCAGGTTTGAGATGATATCTGCTGCAGTGGTCGGGGTTCCGTATTTTCTTGTGCGGTGTCATCATCATCTCCTTCATCACCATCTGCTTCTTGTTCGTCCATGATGGGGATATTCGTCGGGTACTGGTCGGGGTAAACTGTTCATTACGGTCTCCAAAGCTGCCGTATTGCTGAAGCAAAACCCCTGGATACAGTTTATACAGTCCATACATACTACTTTCCTGGTTCTGACAGAAGGATGATGGAGGATGCGGCGGTGTCGTCATTCGAAGTTGCAATCCTTTGAATCTGATTGGGCTATGGTTGCAATGGAGACAGCATGTAGGGAAAACTGAGAATCTCTTACGGGTGAAACGGTCATTTATGCAATAGTAGTAATCCTTTCGGAGCTCCTTAAATAGTAATTGCAGCAAGCTCAGCGTGCAGGTTGACAAAGCGGGAGCTTGTTATCGGTGAGTTGACTTTGCCGCCCGTTTCCTTTCTGTTCGTTGCCAGCTGATATATTTAATTGAAGCCTTTGAGAATGGATGTTTGTTTACCTGGAATGAATGAGCAGGCTGCTATGACCAGGTGGGGTAATAACAGCTATCAAGCATCCGTTTGTTAATCTTGGAAAATTGAAAAGATGTGCCTCTCCATCTCATCAACATCAGTAAAATATTAATTTTTAAACTTTCCTATACATAAACAGGTCATTGTAGAGGCAATAAAATATGGATGATTGCAAGCTCTCTCTGTACATGCAGAAAGACGGTGTGATCTTTTACTCTCTGAGTATTGAATGAATGCTCCTTCTCCTCTGACCAGTGACACCCAAAATTTGAAGAGAGCGACAAAATCCAGCTCTTCTAGAAGCAGAATAAAAAGCCCGATACAATTATCACTGCAGATTTTACCCGCATCCACGGGAGGGATCATGGGATCAACTTCTGGACTTCATGTTCATCTCCAAGCACCTAGCATCCCCTGCATGGAAGGGTAAATTAGAATGCCAGCTGGACTCGCTGGATTAGTGAACATCTAAGCTCTGACCGGGGTCAAGGAGAGATAACCAGCAGACTCGAATTTACCCGGAGTTGGATTCTGTAACTTTCAAATACACATTTCTTCAGCTAGTTATAGAATGTCTGTAGTGAACAACAAGACATCAAGATTGCTACGATTTGGAAAGGCTTAATTGGAGCCACTTTATCATCCCATCGGTTTTGATTAGCGAATGAGAGGGACATTTCTGAAACTGAAACTGGATCTCTATGCAGATACCCTGTAAATTCCTGCACCCCTCAATCATTTCGAAGAGTTCGAAATCCCATTTTTGGTTTGTGAATGCTGCATTTAAGTATGTGCATAAAATTTCAAGCCAACACCTCAAACTGTTTTATCATCCAGTCATGCACCAGTGTCCAGTAGAGTGAATCCTTAGGGAGATGGGAACCGGCATCCTTTGGTTATTTCTGCATGCTCTCATACCCTCCTCTGGTGCGTGAGCATTCCAAGGTTCCCTGCCCATGTGCATGACCCTCGTTTTCTCTTTCCCGTGTCAGGCTCTCGGAGCCTCTAGGGTTTTTTTTTTTTTTTTTTTTTTTTTTTTTTTTTTTTTTGGCGGGAAGTTTGAAAGGAAGGAGATCAAATGAGATGACAGCTGACATGCCGAAAGTAAGAACGTGTATATGTGTCCTTTTTCTTTCAGGGCTCGGAAGCAACCTTCTTCGGAGTCTGCTCTGTCCACGACCCACCTGGTAATATAAGTTTCCATCCACACCACGGGAGCAATCTCTTCACAGAGATTTCCCATTCTGGATAGGATAAATTACGTTTCTCCAGACCAACCCGACCTGTTTGCAGAGTTGGGAGCTCGGAAACCGACTTAAGGAAATGTAAGGCGGAGTGTTCTTGAGATGGAATATCGGTTCATCGCGGCTACTCCGCTCTGTGTAGGCAGTAGTTCACATTCCTGGAATGGAGTAATTAGTTATTATCCATGGAATGCATACACACAGACCGAGCGAAGTGCATGCATAGTAGTAGTATGACAGCGCGGTGGAGTGCAGGGCCTTTTAACCGATTCGGGTGCACGTCCATGCATACTTAATTATCATACGGCGGATTGAGGAGGGGAGTTTGAGGAGGAGGGTAAAAAGCCAGAGTCATGGTCCTCATTCGGTATAGGACAACAATGGCACGTGGATCGGAATCGGATACTGAAACCGTTATTTTCGCCTCCATTCCAGGTCTCAAATCACATGAAAACAACCCAGCTCCGTGATTGCGGCAATCGGGATGGAGTAAAACGGTCTCAGACTTTTCGCATTAAAAACTTGAGCGGATGCCGAAGTTGCTAGCTGTGACAAAAGCGTATGTCGCACAGCAAGGTTAGAAAATGGTTGGTGAAACATGCAGCAAATGTGGTTCTGACAATTGAAGTGTCATGTGGTGGGTGGGCGGACTCGATATATTTTGCCGCGCCAGTTAGTAAACTATATCTAAACTGACATTACAAGGCGAGGTGAGGTGGTCCCCATTTGAAGATGGTGACGGCAGGGAACCTTGTGGAAGATGAAGATAGTAACTATTTCCAGGCTATCATCTCAATGATTAGTTTCCATTAAACCTAGGTAGTTTCCACACAGTGTTATTATTTACTCGACGATGCACACAATAAAACTCCAAAGAGCAGAGAAAAGCGCATTAAACAAGAATCGAAGGAGAAAGTAAACTTTGTTCTGAAGCAGGGAATTGAACGGTATCACATCTCTTAATGATGTCCCACGGTTTCGGTCCTCCTGTTTACCGTGCTGCCCTTCTCCCGATCCCGTCTATCCCGCGGAGCGACCAATTTTGCACCTCAAACAAGAACACCCCACTTCGAATCAGCCTTGTGGCTTGAATTTTCGTGTTGCTGCCTTCTTTTTTTTTTTTTTTTTATCTTTTCTTTCTTTCCTTTAACTTTCAAGTTTTGGACGAATTGCGTAGGATCCAATCGAGACTTTCCGAGGCTCAGATCTATCCGTGCTTTTGGTAAAAAAACTGTTTGGATCCAGCTGGAAAACAAGGCCGATACTCATCTCTTCAGCAAGAGGCGAAACAATTGAAGATGCTGTGTCCTCCTTACGCTGTTTTAGGTTTTCAAGAAAGCTGCTTCAGTGCTCAGACGCCCGGTGAATGCTGTGACGAAAACAAGAACACCACATCTCATCTTTGAGTCTCACTTACGACTATCGTGATCACTGGGTCCCGATCCAATCACAAGCCGGTTTAACAAGCTCGATCATTCCCGCCTCACACGGAGCAAAGATTAACGACGAAAAAGTCTGATCGACATTAGTGGACCTTGTGAACGGCATGATTTGATCCGCTTTTTTATTTTTATTTTTTTTTTGCTTTTCTTCTAGCGCTTTTCTCCCTTCTTCTGTGCCAATAGCGGGGTCCTCTCTCCAAGCCTATTAGTGGAAACATCTGTGGATTTTGGCGACGGAATGAATTGCAAACAGGACGAAGCAAAGAAGAGAGCTATTTTGCCGAATTGAGTTGGCTTGATTTGTTTAAGAACCCAAGAAAACTAAAACTAACTAACTACAGACTATTGTCTTTGACTGCGCTTCCGTGGTTGGATATCTCCGTCTTCATGTTGAATGGTTCGAAGGTAGCTTGGCGGTATAATTATTTTGTTGATCTTCGCGTTGGCTGATAAGTAAGGAAATATATAAACACAACCTTGGAAAAGGAAAAGGGGCACGCTGGGTAGTCTGCTGCTCACAGCACCATTTCGTCAATAATGCACATGGGGGCTCATCCCAGCTCAGGGACCGTGCTGATGCTGAGGATGACCTGAGGCAGGGAAGATCGGCTTGTGAGATGCCGATGTAACTCTCCTAGGGCTGCGCAGGTAAAACATATTTCCCGCACACACCTGGTTTATGTTCGGAGGAGATGAAGTAGCAGTCGCATTTGTAGTAATGAGCATGGATGCATCAAGCAAAGTAACGGGAGATTTCCAAGAACTTAGGGCAAAGACACTGAGATGTGACTTCTCAAGTTTCTCGTTTGACAAGGCCCTTTATCTCAGAACAACTACTCAGGGGGTCAGTAGGAGTTCGGCCAGGAATTCATCCCGAAATCCTTCCTTGGTGGAATGGAGCTTTTGCCCCTTAAAACGGCTAAGCGTGGAGCGTTCCTTGAGGCCAACGTCCTGCGACCCACGGCCTTGTGGCACCCAGCTAGGCCCGTTGAGATGTAGCGGCTCTCTGCAGTGAAACCGGGCACCACCTGGGAGGGGGGTTAGCCTCTGACTATTAGCTTTTTTGGTGGAGTAACTAGTTATGTATTACAGTCGTTAACTACCTGGAGCGCGGCACATAAGGGGGCAGCTTTAGGGTTAGGTTGAGGGTTGTTTGGGAGGAGATCCTCTTCCTGGAACCTGTGGGGGAGGGTTTGGGAAGCTGAGAATCCTCTTTAAAGGGGGTTGGTACGGATGGTGTTGCCAATACACCGCACCCGTTATCAGTGCTCTCTGGTGGTCATACAGCTGTTGCCGGTCATCTTTCATCATCATCATCATCATCATCATTATTGTTATTATTATCATCCTCCTCATGTTCTTCATCCTCCTCAAACAACATCTATCCCACGTCACACAGAGACAACTGAATTAATTTATAGCTAATTCATACATGTGGACGTATTGTCATAGTTCATTGTTAACTACCTACATTGACCCTCTAACAGCAAAATCGGTCATCAACCTCCAAGTCTAAGCAGCTAACAAGCTCTTAAAATCCATCCTCTCCATTTTATTTCCTCACGTCCTCCTAGATTTATCATTTCGCCTGCTATTGTTATCTGCGATACCCTCTGCTTCATTAAATTTTCATATAGGCCCTTCTAGTCAAGAGCATGCTGATTATTTGCCTCTTTTTTGTCTCAACCCTCAGTTGTTCAATCTAAATACCCACCACCTGAAAATAAAATCCACATCGCAGCGTGAACATCCCGAGGCCAGTGGGATATATCACTGCTTATAACAAGGCATAGCTGGGATTTCTCAATTCTTGGGTCATATGAGTTATTCAGGATCCGTTAGCAATGGCGGCGGATCTGGATGCGGGCGAGGGATTGGCAGTGATCAAATGCTCCAAGTGCAATGCAAGCGTCGGGATATCTCAAATGGGTGATCATACCTGCCCCAGAGCTTCGCAACAACGTATGTGTATCCTGCTATCATATCTGCCTATAGCCAATGCGCGTAGCGCTTCTCTGCGTATCGATTGAGTGAATGCTGAACAACTGTGTAGTTACTCCACCTCCAGACCAAGACAGTCATAACCCCTTTAGGGGCCCTACAAATACTGCGGGCTTCAATCGCGAGGGCAAGTCGGGAAGACTTGGTCCGCCACCACGAATTAACCCTTTCGCAGCTAGTGAGTTCTTCACAACGGCAAATGCCTCAGGCCTCAACATTCTGACTTTGATTAGACCATCATTTTCAACACCGAGATCTTCTCACCCCTGCCAACAGTGATGGCACTCCATCTTTCTCTCCCTTTCCTCTTAAACGAAGCCAAACCACTCCAATATCACCAGCGCCTGAACCCTCTAATGAAGATGACTCGTATACCTGTGTTCGATCACATACTGTAGCAGGGTCCGGCATGAGGTCGGGACCCGGGATCTGGACGCCTGCCAGCGGTGGTGCCTTCACGAGAATGCCGTTTGAAAATAGCCCGGATCGTATTGAAGATGATGCTATAAGTGAGTATTGTAACAATAATCTATCGATTTTACGAAATCCTGCTCCCGACGCTGCCGAGAATCGGTGTCGCCCACGATCAACAAATAAACATCGAAGAGAAGTGTCGATAGATAACAAGAGCATCCTTCGAATCTCAACAGCAAACTCGCGGTTTGGAGATTCTGGCCTTGGTCCTTACTCGCCAAGGAATTTATCCAATGTTGGACGTAATGTGATGGATGAAGTACCGCCACTACCTACGGGGCCCATCAAGAGTTTTACCCCAGGGCCATGCGACGCAATTCCGTCCTCGTATCGTTTTGAAAGTAAAGAGGACTTCGAAAAGGATCGTGTTACAGGGGCCAGCCCTCCGAAGAATCAACAAAAGAAGGGCGTGTTTGGAAGTTCCGATTTCGGTCTGCCTTCACAACCGAAACTTCCCAGAAATCCGGAAGATGGTACCATCCTTCGGCAGCCTTCGAATGCCAACACTAACTCTACCACCTCCTCGAGGAGTTTCAGATATGATGTTCAAGAGAAGGGTATAACTAACAAACCAGAATATGGGCCCTCAATGTCCCCGACACATGAGTGTCGAATTGATCAAGACTTTTCTGTCTCTAACTTTGCGCGAGACCTCGGGCTAAGTCATAGCACACGTCCATCAATCTCTTCAACTGGAACCACGCTTTCAGATATAACTAGTGGGAGCTCTCACTCTACAAGACCTTCCGAAGTGTCAAGTGAGACGTCGCCACTGAAATCCGGCTCAGGATATATATCTTCGTGGGATAGCTCAACACTTGACTTGGAACCCAGTCGCCCAGACGATCTGTTCGGGGATGGTGTGGATTCCCCAACCGATCCGTCTTTCCAAAACGGGCATTTGTTATCAATGATCTGGGAAACGGACCGATCCAATGGATCTGGCTCAAAGCTAAGATCAGGTTCACCCCCTGAACTGACAGTAAAAGATGCAAGATCTACCCCGGCACAAGTTCTCACTCGCAATGCCACTCGGACTCCTACAGGCCACAGAAGCAGGTGTCGAGGATGCCAACAAATCATTGTTGGGAAGTCCATATCATCTGCAGACGGCCGGTTGACGGGCCGGTGGCACAGAGCCTGCTTTGTCTGCCACACATGCCGCGCCCCCTTCCAAACTGCCGATTTTTACGTCCTCGACAACCTCCCTTACTGTGCTCAACACTACCATGAATTGAACGGCTCGCTTTGTGGCGCCTGCAATACTGGCATCGAAGGACAATACCTGGAAACGGAAGAGGAAACAGATAATTTAGGAGGGGGAACACGGAAAAAGTACCATCCAGATTGCTTCAAATGTCGAACGTGCTCTATGGTGTTGCGGGGCGATTACTTCGAATGGAATGGTTTTCCATATTGCGAGCAGGATGGACGGCGTGCTGCATCTGCGACGTATCCGCCTCAACCCTCGCATATGATGCCACCGGGAGGAGGGTCGGGCTATAATAGATGGCCGCCCCACTCTCCAGCGGGGGGATATCCTGGAGGATACGGACCAGGACCTGGTCCAAGATATGGGCGAGGCGGGAGTACTGGAATGCGATATCCATCATCGAACTCGAACCTGAGAGTTCCCCCGCAGGGCATGACGTATAATAGTCGACGATACCCTGAGCGGAGGACGACCAAGTTGATGATGATATAACACCAAGTCCGTTCCTTCCACTCGATAACGTATATTTGATTTTAGGATTGATCAGGTTGACGGCATGGACGAGATGCAAGTCATCCCTTGACTTTTTTCCAAAACCCTGGTTTTCTATGGCTTTATAATTTTCTTTTCTTTTTGTGTTTGTTTAAAGAGTTCTTCCATATCCATCCACTTTTTGCTAAGGCATGGCATGTTGTGGCATTTGAAGTCTACGTCTTGTTTTAACATATGACTGGCTAGTATTGCACCGTTTCTGTATACACTCGACTCCCTTCCTCTTGGTTGAACATCTGATACCATTCACACCTTCATGCTTCTGTGTGCTTGTCTTTCCTTTCTAAATATATACCCATTTTACCTTCCTTTTGCTGTTTTTAGGCCATCTTGACTCCGCGTTTTTGTCATCCCCCTCCGTTTCTTTCTCTAGATGTCCTTCCTCTCCTTTTCTCCCTCATATTTTTCAGCCAGCACCATTAACTTATGTCTCCATACCCAACCTAAATGTCTTTCAATCTCAGTATGCCTCTCCGGTGTTTGATCTATCCATCTTTCCTCAGGAAATCCTCTCTAAATGCATGTACATACATAACTTGTTCACAATACAGGTTGATCATTTATGGTGTGGCTAGCTGTATCTGCATCTAATTTACACAAATTTAGCCCTACATTCATCCTTCTGTTTCATTTCGAAATCTTCACACTTCCTCAATTCTCTGCACCTCATTTTCTACATGCGATGACTCAACCAAATCATAGGTCATAGCACCCAGATTCACAGTTTTTCGATCATGAACTCCAGAGCATTGGTTTCTCTGTTTGATATCCGTATACTGTAAAATTCACAAGGACTCCTTTGATAGAAATAGGCGTGATGAAAGTGCTCTTTTATTCTGATCATAGGACGAGTGAGACAAAATTCTCATTCCTTACTTCTTTCAATGTTTCAGTCAGCATCCCACACTTGCCTTAGAATTCTGACAGTAAGAGCTATCCGCGATAACCAACATTGATTTGGCTCAGGTTCAGAAAAGAGTTCAAACAATGGTTGTTGAAGAATGAAACAATTCCATTGCTATCTCACCCCGGTTTTCCTCTTCGAAACATAACCTTCAATAGGAGTGGGGAATGTCAGGCACACATGTATTTTTTAGGTGTGCGGTGGCATTCATTATTTATGTTGAGCTTTGCACTGCAGGTTTTCCAAGGATCTCCTTAGGACTCCTTACGTTACCCCTCCTCGACGAAATAACTATTGACGTTTCAAACAACCTACCTACATGCTAACCGAATTACTGCGGGCTGCTGTTGTTCAAGCAAAACCCCGAGAATGAGCAACCATAACTGCTGCCCGCCTGATCCAAACGCTCATTCGACGAATGAGCCAGAAAGATAGATAGACATGGCGCAGGTTCTGAAGGACGCTGCAGGCACAGATGTAATGCATGAAGACTTAACTCTAATTTCAGCGCTACGATCCAAACAAAGGCTTTAGTAATTCACCAAGGCTTAACGTTAACTAAAACAGGCACCTATGGAGTTAGTAAAATTGACCGCTATTTGCTTCCTCGGACATCGGACATCGAACATAAACTCCCCCCCTGTAACCCCCACTTTCAGTTATGAATTGCCTTTCCATCAGAGTCTTCTTATCTGTGCGCTAATACCAATTAACAACACGTCAATGGACAATGTACTCAACCTCCAACACAAAACGTGATTCTCTAGATCTATCCCCACTGGCCACCTGAAGGTTAGGGTTTAGTTCTATGAACATGTCAACGCGGCAAGTGGAAAACGCAGCAGTAATCTGACGTTTTAGAGAGATAATTTTTTTGATCATGCTATCCTTTCCTTGCCTGTTATTTTGTTGGCCGTCGGGAGGATCTTGATCTGCAGCTCGGTTATAGAAGGGCTCTCTCACCTACATTGTAGAGTAATTGCCTAGCAGGGACAGGGACAAATATTCGTACGCCCCCGTATCGACCTACATACAGCCAGGATGCAGAATATTGGAATCGGCTATGTAGCGGATAATGTATGTATGCTCTTGAATCTGCACGTATGATCTATGTGTGCAAACAGGATCCTGATCCCGATCCTCTGAACAAAACCCGAAGCCGCAGGGTTTCTGCCTTAAGAACGAGGCTGTCAGTATCTAATGTCTACAGAGAACTGTTGCAGCCAGTTCCCAAATAAGTCCCCGAATTACCAATGCCTTGGCGAGAATAGGAGGGTGCCAATCTGATGTTATCGAAGGTAGGGGGGGGGGGGGGGGGAGGGGGAATTTGGATTGGAACAGAGAACTTCGGGAGCCCGTTTGTGGATGTTCTCTGATGATGATTTTGAGAAGATACGATTATTGTCTGATAGTAACTGGTTAGCAGAGCACCTTTCTTTCTTTCTTTTTTTTCTCTTTTTTTTTTTTTTTCTTTTTTTTTTCTTTTTTTTTCTTTTTTCTTTTTTTTTTTTTTTTAAGGGTTCTTAAGAGCATCGGGTATTGTTTGATGAAAATCTGTTTGGTAGCAGCAAGGTAGGCGACCCACGGAAGCGGCGTATTTCGACCAGCAGAGGAACAGCTTTGGGGAATCCCAGCCACAGCCACAGACAGACAAGAGAGGAACGGTTCGAATTGGGGGGGAGGGGTTGATAATGCTGCAGAAGAGGCGCATGTTGACCTGCATTATGCTGCATTAACCCAACTTCCGTCGCGATCCTGTTCAATTCCAGTCTTCAACTTCCCTCCGCGCTGCTCCAGCCAGCCAATCCCTGACATAAGATGCTGTATCCACGGCGGCGGGGCACGTACAAGGGTATGTAAATAAGTTTCATTGCGTTGGTTGGAGCCCACTCCGCAGATACAGTACTTCCGGTATCCGATCCGGTGCCTGGCGCCTGGCTACAAAAACACCCCCATCCCCCACGGTTCGTTCTCCTCCTCCTCCAACCCAACCAACTTTTAACTTCATTCGATCCCATCCGGCTATTCTTCCACCTCAACTCTCTTACTTAACCTTTCGATCACTCTCAAGGAAGTGATCCATCAATACCGCCAAAACGTTTTCCAATCTCCTTCCCTCGTAAGTTCCCGTCGCGCCATGTTTGACTTGCCTCTTTATCTGTTTCCCCCTAAGCTTGTTTCACTTTCACACACGCTCTCTTTCTGGTTACATTGAATATAATTGCCACTGTTCTCTCGTTCAACCTTTTTCCTCGTTGGAATGGAATTGCTCATATTCTGTTAGGTCGCACCACCCGTTCAACGGAAGCCGACGCTCGTCCGCTCGTGGAGGAGCATCGGATTCACCATTCGTTCGATAAATTAACCTAGGTCTCTTGACTGCCAATTGAAGCGAGAGAATTTTAAATCTCTTGTTCAGTTCACGCTCAATTCTTCTCAAATTCCCTTCTGACACACTCGCGCCAATTTTCCGCGTTTGACAAGTCAAGATGGCCCCCCATGCCCAAGAGAACGCCAACGGCTCCTTGAACGGGTCGGTGCAGACCTCCAAGCCCTCCCTTTTCACCGTCGACTCTCCAAATGTTGTTTACTCTGATGAGGAGATCAAAACGAGGTATGTATACCGCACTACTGCCGTCACTCGTGGTGCAGACGGTAGGTATGTTGCCTCTCCCAAGGAGTCTGCCTATGACTTCAAGGTTGACCGCAAGGTCGGCAAGGTCGGCATGATGCTTGTTGGCTGGGGTGGAAACAACGGAACCACCGTTACGGCTGGTATACTTGCCAACCGTCGTGGTCTCGTTTGGGAGACACGCGAGGGCAAGCGTAGCGCGAACTACTACGGCTCCGTCATCATGGGTTCCACCGTCAAGCTGGGTACCGATCCGGAAACCGCTTCGGACGTCAACATTCCCTTCCACGACATGTTGCCCATGGTCCATCCCAATGACCTGGTCATTGGAGGTTGGGACATCAGTAGCATGAACCTTGCTGATGCCATGGACCGCGCTCAAGTCCTTGAGCCGTCCCTGAAGCAGCTGGTTCGCAAAGATATGGCTAAGATGAAGCCACTGCCAAGTATCTACTATCCCGATTTCATCGCTGCTAATCAGGAGGATCGTGCCGACAACGTCGTTGAGGGCTCCAAGGCCTCATGGGCTCACATTGAGAAAATCCGGCAGGATATTCGGTAAGTCGTTGTCCTCCCATTTCCCTAGTATACAGGAAGACATATATCTGATTGTCTATGCTACAGTGAATTCAAGTCTGCAAATGGATTGGATAAGGTCATCATTATGTGGACCGCCAATACTGAGCGTTATGCAGACATTATCCCCGGCGTGAATGACACCCCGGAGAACCTCCTCCAAGCCATCAAGGACGGCCATGAGGAAGTTTCTCCCTCAACCGTTTTCGCGGTTGCGTCCATCTTGGAAAATGCTCCCTTCATCAATGGCTCTCCACAGAACACCTTTGTTCCCGGAGCTGTCAAGCTTGCTGAGCAACACGAAGCCTTCATCGGTGGAGATGACTTCAAATCAGGCCAGACCAAGATGAAGTCCAGCCTTGTCGATTTTTTGATCAACGCTGGTATCAAGCTTACTTCCATAGCAAGCTACAACCACCTGGGTAATAACGATGGCAAGAACTTGAGTTCCCACAAGCAATTCCGCTCCAAGGAAATCTCCAAGTCCAACGTCGTGGACGATATGGTTGCCGCCAACTCCATTCTGTATAAGAAAGATGAACACCCAAATCATACTGTGGTAATCAAATATATGCCAGCTGTCGGAGACAATAAGCGTGCGCTTGACGAATACTACGCTGAGATCTTTATGGGGGGCCACCAGACCATCAGCATGTTCAACGTTTGCGAGGACTCCCTTCTCGCCTCTCCGCTGATCATCGACTTGGTCATCATCGCCGAACTCATGACTCGTGTTACCTGGAAACCCGCCGATGGCGGTAAGTACAAGGGCTTCCACAGCGTTCTCAGCGTTCTGAGCTATATGCTTAAGGTAATAAACACTTTTCTTTTTATCTCTATATCGAGATTTCTGGATAAATTAAATGGCCTTTTTAAACTAACTTTCCTGTTCCAGGCCCCAATGACCCCACCAGGAACTCCAGTGGTAAACTCTTTGAGCAAGCAGCGCGCTGCTATCACCAACATCTTCCGTGCCTGCGTTGGCTTGCAGCCAGAGTCTGATATGACTCTTGAGCATAAGCTTATTTAAGCCGTCTCGTATCCCTGTGCAGTAAAGCCATTATCCAGCCGCTTAATCAAATAACCAAATTGCCTATTATCCCACATTTTTTTTTTTTTTTTTTTTTTTTTTAATGATGATGAGATAAATTGCTCTAGGAAGAGAGGGAAATGGTCTTTTATTTAATTGGGGAAGAGGGTGTCGGCTGTGGTCAGATTGAATTACTCTTCATTTTAGCTTTTTCTTTATGCTGCCCAGCAGCTTTTTAGTAACTGCCTGTTTATCGTCATGTATAAACATCCACGCTCCTTCAGCTAGTAACTAAGCTCAGTATACTTGGTATGCCCAACTGCTGCAATGACAGACTTGTTTAGCAATACGCCAGCTTTTCCTACGATAAGAGAAACTGGCTTCAAGATGTTTATCCTATTGTTTCGTAGTCCACACTCTGGTGAAGGAAAATTGCCTTGAAAAGAATACTAAGAGACCGAGGAAAGATGAGGGTGTTGTCTGGGAGGAATAGTTACGGTATAGATGATTTATTTCTCTTGCTGATTCCCTGTGAGGTGGTTGACAATTTCTGAAGTAGTATTAATTATTGACAGTTTAGAATTGTGAAGGCACTTTAAGATGCTTGACACGAGATTCAACGGAAATTTAGTCAAGCATGAAGAAGCTAGTAATAACAAAGGAATCACAGATAGGGGAAATTTCAGAACTTGAAGATGAAGTTAAACATATATATATATATAAAATTAAAAAAAAAAAAAAAAAATAATAATAATAAAATAAAATAAAATATCAGAGGAGCCTCCGCAGCCTTTCCCAAGAGATGATATTTGAAGTTCACGGAATAACTAGCTCTCAATTCTACTGTATTGATCACTATCTATATAGCTTTTCTAACCTCTAGTTATTAATTTTATATCAATATAGCCCTTTTATTTGTCCTCAAATACTTTCCTTCTATTATACAATGTGCATTTTACATGATTCAATCACCACATCATCATGGCAGCAACGCCACCCATCACCGCTGCGAACTGATCCAACCTCGCAATATTGATCAAAGCAGCACCACCTGTGAAAGCGCCTGTGGGATTTGAGGTCATTGTAGCAGGTAAGTCCATCGCAGTTACGCTCGTTGCAGGTACACTTGTCGCAGGTACGCCCATTGCAGTTCCGCCCGTCGCAGTTGCGCCCATCGTAGTTGTGCTCGTCGCAGGTCCACGACAATGCCAGTGATCGCCGTGTGGTGTGCAACCGACGGATCCAGGTGGGCTCGGGCCTGGGTCTTGATGACTTGAAGTCTTGTGACCATTGTGATGGCCATCGTGCATGGTTGTGGTTGTGTTTTTGGTGGAAGAGTGATGCGTAGTGGCAGGACCACTGCAATGCCTGTTGTTCAATGTCTAGTTAACATGTCTGCAATAAATGGTATTCCCGGTATCTTTCCTTGGGGAAAGGGAAAATTACCAGTGGTCGACATGCAGCGTGCAGCCTACGGACTCTGTCGGACTAGGAGCCGGGGTGCGAGAAGGCTTCGTTGCGTGTTTGCTTGTGGTACGGGGGCTGTCGCAGTGCCTTAAAGTAACAGATAATTATAGATTGAGAAGGTTAGTCATATACATTATTAAATGGAATATGAAAAATACATTAGCTAGCTTTGGTTTATTCGAGATAAGGAACCCAGATATCTCAAAATGTCCTACGAAGGGTCTGGGAGATTGAAACGTAATGAAGGCGAATATGAGCATACCAGTGATCGCCATGTGGTGTACAGCCGATTGACTCCGGAGGCGAAGGTCCTGGATCTTGATGTCCGCGAGCTAAGCACAGAGAGGAAGAGAGGAGGGACAAGGAGAACAGGGCGAACGTGGCGTACTTCATATTCCAGTCTCTTCCTTCGTAGTCGAGAGATATTGTATATAAGTGAATTGATGTCGAGATGCTATATATATACCCTTCTGGAGAGGAAAAAAATCCACGCTAATGATAAAATTGAGGTGAAAGGTGAATTTCTGGATGTTGTCCGCCCTTTTTATAATCAAGCAAGTTGCTTTGCGCTACCATTGATTGCCATGTAGCAGGTTATTTTCGTGGCTTCTCGAATTCTCGAATTCACGAGGGATAAACCAGTGAATAACGACCTAGCCATGTTCAGCAGCAGGATTGAAAACAGAGTCAATATGTCGGGTTGGTTTCGATACCTTGGTATCCAAAATACGGCGTATGGACTTCATCCCGCGCCGAGGAACTCCTACATCCTTGGAACGGATTCCTTACAGCCCAAGAAGGGATGCACTAGGGTAGCTCGGAGATATTGCTCAGACGATAGTCGGAAACATCGGATGAACATTCTGAACCTCACGATGCTTATGCCCTGAGTAGATCATTTTCACACCGATGATGGACGAAGCAAGTCGGAAGATAAAACAGCAGGACACCAACGCACTGCCAGCAGCAAAATCGTTTAACACATTACATCGTTGCTGTAAACGGGGGATTTTGCGGCTTGAATGGCAATTTGGGTAGTCCACCAAGGTCGATATATTCCAACGCTTAGCCACCGTTAACACATCACACATCACATCGTTGCTGTAACATGTGGATTTTGCAGTTTGAATGGCAATTCGGTCAGTCCACCAAGGTCGAATATTCCAACGCTTGGTCCACCGTTAACACGTTACACCATTGCTGTAAACTGTGGATTTTGCAGTTTGAATGGCAATTTGGGGTGTCCACAAGGTCAATATATTCCCAACGCTGGGCCACCAACAAGGTCCGCAGAAGTGGGACAAGTGCCTTTACCTGTAGGTGAGCAAGTTGATGGCACAGCAAGTATCTAAACACATCCAAATACTCAAGTACAGAGGGAAATCTCCAGAAAGTCGTAGAGGAGGTGAATAGGCGGACGTGAAGGTGTGTCGCTTCTTGGCTGTTGAGTACCTTGAGGCATCGCCCTCATTAAACTCAATATCCTGTGAGTTTGAATGGAGGGGTATATTAAGTTGAACATCTGAGAAAGGAGCAACAGATGAATATGAGAGAATATATAAGCACTTTTGATGGGAGAAACTTTGATGCTGGTTTTGTGGCTGCTGGCAAAACTGCAATAATTATGATCGGTTGAAGGAGGTTGAAGGTTAATCGGAAAATTGTCACGATTCTGCGATTTCAACTCATCTCACACCGGGATCCGCGATCTCAGCGCCAGTTTTAGCAAATGAGGTCACAACCATCGACCGTTTTGTGTCTGCATGTCTGGAGGGACTATTACAACATAAAAGAAGGACCTCGAAATATTCAATACATTGATGTCATATCAACATATTAACCGAACATTCCATTCCGTCTACGTAGGATTGCTTTTCCAGTCCATAATGCCGAAAGCAAAATACAAAAAGACCAGAGATGCATAGTTAACCACCCCTAAGTCCAATTGTCAAAAAAACCCACAAGTGGAAGCTAGGAGACATTGCTGCATGATTGTTTATATCGAAACCGCCGCTTACACCTCGCAGACCTGATCACTGCTGTCCTATTTTCTATTTTTACCGTCGACATATAATCCTCTCCCGCCGGAATGCAGACGAAGGAAGGGGTGCCACGGCGCGACAGCAAAAAGCCTTACTGCCTCATATTGACAACACACCGAATACAATCTCCCTGCTTCATTTCCTCGAAGGCCTTGTTTATGCCATCGAGTTTTTCACGATGAGTGATAAATTCGTCCACCTTCAGCTTGCCAGTCATATATTCGTCGACCAATGCGGGAAGCTGACTGCGACCCTTTATGCCTCCAAACGCACAACCTTTCCATACACGTCCGGTAACAAGTTGGAATGCTTCGAAAATGGAAGATCGAACTTATTAGTTTTGCCCCGTGCCTCTGTGCTTGACTTGGAAAGGAACGAAATACTTACGTCTGGTAGAGATTTCTTGGCCAGCTGCAGCAACGCCGATTATGATACTTTGACCCCATCCCTTGTGGCAAGCTTCAAGGGCAGCACGCATCACACCAACATTGCCCGTACAGTCAAAGGTATAATCACATCCACCATCAGTCATCTCAATGAGCTCCTCCTGGATACTCTTCCCACCAAGCTTCGTTGGGTTGACAAAGTCCGTGGCCCCGAATTTCCTGGCCCAAGATTCCTTCTTGTCATTAACATCGACGACGATGATCTTGCCCGCTTTGTTCTTCACTGCACCCTGAATTACGGACAAACCAACACATCCAGCACCAAACACAGCCACGCTTGAGCCTTCCTCTACTTTAGCAGTAACAACTGCTGCGCCGTAGCCAGTGGTGATACCGCACCCGAGTAGACACGTCCGGTCCATTGGAGCTTTGTCAGCGATAGCTACAACGGAGATATCTGCAACAACCGTGTATTGAGAGAAAGTGGAAGTGCCCATGAAGTGTAGCAGTTGCTTGCCGCGGCAGGTGAATCGGGAAGTGCCATCAGGCATAACGCCTTTTCCTTGAGTGGCTCTGATCTTTCCACACAAATTCGTCTTGCCGGACTTGCAGAATTTGCATTCTTTACATTCAGGTGTGCTATTGATATTCAGTTAGAAGCTGTACTCTAGCCATCATTGGCGCGAGGGGAGTCGTCGGCCCTACGAAACGGGGTTTAGAAACGAAGGGAGGCATATCATACTAGAGCGCAACTACGTGGTTACCAGGTTTTACAGAGGTCACGCCCTCGCCGACAGACTCGACAATACCCGCACCCTCATGGCCCAGGATGATGGGGAATGCTCCCTCAGGATCCTTTCCGGAAAGAGTATATGCATCTATATAAATTTGTACCGGTGAGCTAGGTTTTTATAATGACGGGGTTTGGCTGACAATCATCCAGAAAGGAGGGATCAGAGAGAGACGCCATCCTACCTGTATGACAGACACCAGTATAATATATTTCGATGCGGACCTCGTGGGCCTTTGGGGGAGCAACCTGGATATCCTCGATGACAAGGTCCTTGCTGGCCTCCCACGCGACCGCAGCCTATTTTCGCTGCTCAGTATATGCCTGGCATCATTCCTAAATACAAAAAATCCCGTAATTCGACCTGGGAACTTCATCACAAATTCGGTTGATTCGAGGAGAAGGGATTTCGTGGATTTTGGTTCGTCTTACTTTACATGTGATGGTCTATTGTTATCCCGCTCATTGAGCAAAACCGTTAACATGCGATATCTTGGTGTTATTGGCAGTGCCAAAACAATTAAGCAAGCAGAGAAAAGACAAAATAAGAACTATCACTGACCTTTCCAGCCGTGTTAGACATTGTGAATAGGTATCAGTCTGGTGGGAGAGAAGGTGATGTCGAAATAGGCTATGCTCTGGTAATGTCTCGGCAAGAGAGCGATTCTAGAGAGATGGAGAGGGAGAGAGAGCGAGGCGCGAAGGAATGTGGACTGAGATATTAAAATATTATGGTGGAAGTAAAGTTAGTGGACAAATAGTTGGAATGAGGAGACGCAGATAAACAAAAAATTGTGCTAAGGAGAATCGAAGATTATCTTTGTTTGGACCGCCGCCCCGAGTTGGGGTGACATCCGCGAGATGAGGAGGGGCAGGCTTGGAGGTGGGTGGGGGGCCGTTGCCGTAATGAGGGGTTGTATCGCCCGGTATTTAGAGATGCTCTTCTCTTTTAATTTCGCGGGAGGAGAATGTATAGATACACACAATTACTTAGCAACCACCTGTCAACCGTAGAGCCAGCCAGGGTAAAATTCTGTAATAATGATGCTAATAGGGTAATATATGGGGCTTGGACGGGGTAGTCGGGGAACAGTTGTTTTTCCCCTCACGGCAAGTCTCAAGTGTCTGTCTGTCTTGAGATATACATCACGATGAGCCGAGAATCAATTTTATTCTGGAAATATACTCCACTATTGGACACTGATAGCGCTCTATTCTATTGAAAGAGGAGAAGAGAAATCTCTTAAGGGTCTCTCCGTTGCTAAAAGAGTAGTTGGTCATGATCTGTTCAACTTCAATTTTGCTGTAATTGTCTCGTTTTCCCGTATCGCAACCCACCACTAAGTACATTACGATCCCCAGCCCAGATCGCCAAAGTCACTTTATATTGGGCATTTAAGGACTTGATGTGGGAGGAAGTCCCATTGAACAGTTCCCTACTAATAGTCCTTTAGAGAATCTACAAATGTGAAAATTTGGTATGAAAGCAAAATCGCTGATCAGTTTTAAGATCAAGCGGATATCATTCCGTAATTCACCGTTCTTCAGTTCCGTAGGAGAATTTCGCTCCAATGTACTTCTCCTCTAACGTGTGCGGCGCTTTTGCCGTGCCCCTATTCTTGCCCAATTCTATAATCTGCTTAAGTACCCGCTTCAGGGTAATGATTCCATCCGTGCTTATTTCTATAAAATGACAATCAGTTAGTTGCTATATCACATCATAATTCTTGCAATGAAGAGACAAGTAAACAAGAAAGAAAAGCATTAAAAAGTCCGGCATCACTCACGATAATGGGTAACAATCCTCGGAGCAAAAACATCCACCCCTTCCTTCTTCGCAATCCGCTCGAATTCCTCCCCAGACACCCCAGCCATGTTCAAATCCAACCATACCATATTCGTCTCTTGGGCTAGACCGGGCATAACTGACCCTCCCAACGCAATCCATTCCTTCTCCAGCTCCCTCGCCACCGCATTGGCCCGCAACATAGGTTCACCAGCAAGAAACACCTCATCAATAGCAATGAACGCAGGCGCCGTGAGGATACCGACCTGTCTCATCGCGCCGCCCAGCGCCTTGCGCAGATGGCGGGCACGCGCGATGATCTCTGGCGACTTAGCCACCAGGATAGAGCCAGAAGGTGCACCTAGAGATTTCGAGAAACACATGCTGACAGTGTCGACGTGTGAGCAGTATTCACGGAGCAGAGTTTTGGCAACCTCCGCTGCCTCTGCGGGTGGCAGGTTGACGCTTGAGGGTGGGTAGCATGCATTCCATAACCGGGCGCCATCCATGTGTAGTTTTATGCCATTTCTCCGGGCATACTCTGATATTCGCTTGACTTCAGGTACGGGAGTGATGATACCGCCATGTGTATTTTCCAATGCAATCACTCTAGTTGGTGCATAGTGCGGATCGCCGGAGTCGGGCACTATATTAGGGATGATATCTTCCAGAGGCATATATAACTGCTGTTTCGGTTGGCAATTGCCCTTAGGAGAACTGGGCATCACAGGAATCAAATGCGCCTGCGAAAAAATAGAAGACATGCCGCACTCATGCTCGAAGATGTGACTATGCCGGCCACAAACGACGGAGTATGGTGGCTGTTGCAAGAGAGCGCGTAGAGCTAATTGATTGCCCATTGTCCCCGTGGAGACAAAAAGAGCATTCCCCATCCCTGTCAACTCCCCGACGTAAGCCTCTAGAGAATTGGTGGGCCCGTCTTGGAAGAAGGTGTCGTCCCCAAAGCGCGGCGCTTGGGTGATGGTTGATGCGAGCATGCGGCTGCTTGGGAGTGTGACGGTGTCGCCTATTATTAGCATATTAGGATGTAGCTTAAATGCCCGATATATATACACGTAGGCTCACTTCGGAAGTCATGAGTTGCAGCGCGAGCGCTATGATTTACTGTCTCAATTAATGTCTGTGAAGTCATGGTGCTGAGTGATCTAGCTGTCCCCAATGGTGGCAAGGTGGAGGGGAACTGCTTCGAAAAAATCAGGTTACCCAGTGGAACTAAGAGCCGCTGCGGGCGGTAAATAAATGATCTGTGCATCTAAATAACCATTTAAAAAATAGCTACCTGAGATGTGTAGTGTTGAGTTGTCTGACGACTGATGAAAAGGGGGTTCGTGCACTGCTGGAGCGACTACTTTTCTGTGCGGAGCGAGACAACTGGAATCTTTCTTGGGAACCACTGATCACTATCAATGCTAACAGTAAATGTTGCTGCGCTGTAGTCAGTCTGCTTGATAAAACTTGCTCCATATTGCCGGTATAGATGTAGATCTTGTGGAGGGATTTTATCTATCCGCATTTACACGGCTGAAAGCATTAGTTACTTGTTTATCAAGCCCGCTGCTTGTCAAATGAAATCCATTTTATCACACGACAACGAGATTTGCTAGCTTCTGCTCCTATACATATTTTGCGAGCGATTGCACCTTATGGATTATACTTTCGCGGGGGCAGTCGTCACTGTGCAGATGGGATATGCCCAAAGGATAGAAAGCTGTATTTCACAATATACCCATATTGACGAGGGATGATATATAGAGTCACTAAAAAGAGGGGTAAATTAGATAACCAAAAGCGGCGAGGATAAAGAGAAAGGATATTTGTACCTAACGCTATAAAACGGACACTATTTCCTCTTGTCAGAGAGCTCATTCATGTATGCGGAAACATTATACTGGGCCGTACAAAAAAAAAAAAAAGCATAAAATATCCCAAAAAACCGAAATCTAGCGAATCGGCTGTTCTCGTTGCATCCTATGCCCCGTCCATGCCCTTGCTTTCCCCGAAATACAAACTTGACGTAGATTGGTCTCATGCTATCCTCGTATGATGAATGGAGGTACTTTCCAGGAGGGTAAAAAGATCCATCGGTTAAGATGTATATCATTGAAACAGACAAAATAGGTAAATCGTACAAACAACCATACAGTCCAGTTCCTCCAGCCAACCAGCCAGCCCAGCTAGCTGCCAATAAAATTTCTTGTTTCATGGAAATTGAAACCCACAATCATTGCAGAAAGGCCGTTGACAACAAAGGAGTTTCCTGACCAGCAATCAGGGAACCAAAAGGTGATGACAATCGTCCCATGAGAACCCCTTCACAATGACTGCTTCAAACCTCGTGTCCAAAATGGCCGTTTTCTATTCAAATGATATTATTTCCCAGGTAATTGGCCCGACTGCATCATCTGAGCATTCTGCTCCTGGAAGCGCTGGTTGATGCGCTCGGAGCCCTTCATGAACTTGTCGAAGCAGCGATTGACGCAGCCTTGTTCGCGGCTGATGAGGGATTTCGTTGTGAAATCATTGACGCAGTCTTCAAAGCAGCGCTGGACGATGTTCGAGTATACCTAATGAAAAGAGAAAGAGATGTCAGGAGAAGAGAAATGATGGGTTTGGAGGAGGAGTTCCAGCGGCTATGTGACAAGGCAAATAGGGGTTTTTGTGGGTGGATTGTACCGTCATGAACTCCTTCATCTGCTTCCTTTCCATCCGATTGGCCAGCTCACGCTGTTCGCTGGCATTTAGACTGAATATATATTAAGTGTTTCCGTGGGAACACTTTTATGTCAGTCCATCCGTTCCGTAGTAGATAAGAGACATCATCTCAGACAAACGGGAGAGAAGAAATCTGGCAGATTGTGGTATGACTATGAATAATGAGACGTACGAGTCCATGACGTGAGTGGGAATAACTAAAGATCCTCCCCTATGCTCCTCAAGATAGAAAGGTCCCGGAGGAATGTAAACGGAAAAGATATAATTAGTGATATGTGCTGTGCCTCTGTTCTGCGGCAGACCTTTAACACGGAGTTATATACACATAGAGCTCTTCCGGCCGGATCCCAGTTCCTGCTTCTTGAAGCTGGGATATTGTTTTTCCGGGGAGCGGTCTGATTCAATGTCACATGATATGACGACACTCTGCTGTTCTCCAAGGACTGCCCTTTATGTAACGTAACGTAGAAGGCGCCGTAGCCTGCGGTGACGTCATATAGGCCAATGATGATAGGAAACCATAAGTTGGCGGGCTTGGATAACAGCTAAAAAGAAGAGCAATAGTTCTATGACGATGAGAGATATTAGGGTGTGCAGTTCAAACATTGGGTTTTAAAATGTAACAGAGAAAATATTGAGTATGGTAATTCATTTAGACACGGACATCTCTCCCACACTTCTATATGCTCATAGATAGTGATTTTATCCTTCTGACTAATTAATTCTAATTCTAACTTTCTAAATCTAACCTTTAATTATAATTCTAATCTAATCTAACTCTAATCTACCTAACCTCTCACCCTGTTCTTGAGGGCGGTAGTTAGTTATCAGTATCATTATTATAAAAGAAATAATATCAGATTTTATAATAAGAAAGGAAAGAAAAATGAAACATCAAAGATTTTAGCTGTCAAGTCCGATACAAAATTTCATTCTACCAAGGTGGGCTGAAAAAGTCAGTTATTCAATTCTCTGAAACTGATGCTTCATAATCAATGACACACTCACATATGTCATCAAGATACAGTTGCAACTATTCTCAGATATAAAACAGCACGCTTTGTCCCAGTCCTATATTTAATTTAATTAGTGGTTTGTTGAGCGTAGATATTTTAGGTTTAAATCTGGTGATTTGGTGGTTACCCTCAGTGGGTGGTTTCGCTCGGTGGGGAAACCACATTGTGTATTACTGCGTAGGCAAAACTCGTTCCAGACCGGAGGGGAGAATAGCTAGTTACCACCTAGTCAGATCGAAATCGTTTGCCACTGTGGAGGAAGGCATGTGTCATCACCAAGGGCTGCCATCGATGCCATCATGGCCCTGGAGAGAAAAGGTGCCTGGGCGCATAATAATACTATGTCATCATTTATTATTAACTACTGTAACCCGTGGTATTTATTGTGTTTCTGGTTCGTGAGATGAGAGATATATATGTAAGGGACAAACGGCTTAAATCTTCTAGGAAAACTATTTCCCCGGTCGGAAAGCAAGAGGAAAACATCCATGGATACACAAATTTCCCCGTGCAGATTTGGGCTGGAAGGTGGGTGATGATAAATGTACATTCAGTATTAGTTGCTCCGTAGACTCTTCAGCTGCTGCTGCTGCTGCTGCTGTTGATGATGATGATGATGATGATGATGATGATGATGATGATGGTGGTGGTGGTGGTGGTGGACTTGGTCTGTTCGGCTGAAACGTCCTCCCTTTGGAGGGGGTTGATCATGATGAGGAGTGGTGCAGGATGTTGTTGTTACTCCAGGAGGACGGAGGAATAAAATCCTGCTACAGGGAGTCTGGTCTTCATATATGTATTTTTGTTGAAGTGATGGAGGAAATGGGGAACTGCCGTTCCAGGGATCTTACTGGGTCAGCCCAGGTCAGCTAAAGGCGAATTAAGACAGGCAGTAATAATACAGGCAACAGAAACATGGAATATGGAGCCTACCCCTGCGAATAATTAATTAATCAATTAAATTAACCAATCAGCAACCCATCAAGGAGGGACTGTTGTCTGTCACAATATTCTTATAATTATCATTTAACTCCATACCCTGTGTCCATCCTGGAGGCTGCGCAGGCGGATTGCAGGTATAGCCACGTGACCTAACGTCTTGGTCGACGCAAGGCTCCATTTTATTTTCAGGAGAGGAGAACTGTATCTTATCTATCTAATCAACTACTACTGTCTATCAAGCACCTCGATCTCTGGCGACTCTATGGAGGAGATAGTTAGCTCAGACATTGCAATATTGACGACAGTGGCTTGGTTTTCGTTTTCCTCCCAGGAGTCAGGGCTCAACTCCCAGGTATCCTGCCCGCAGCCAATC